TAAAAAAACAATGTGATGTTGTTTTACGTTTATGTGCATCAGTGCTTAAATTGTTAAACGAAGTAAGATAAGATAAAAACCGCGCTTTGAAGAATGAAAACATATCTTTTATAATCATAGCAATTAGCGGAAATAATAATTATAGTAACGGCAACTCTGCATCTGCTAGAAGACATCGACTATCATTTATACCAGTACCTACAGACTCTATATTTCAAACTACGAAATATTGAAATGCATCATAATCCCGACACTATCACTTCTTAGACCTTTCCCTACACCATTCCGAACACTCGCTGTATACTGTGCTGTACAAAGACTGATAGACACGGCTTCAAAGCCGGTAAGTCTATTCATATAGCTATCAGTTCCATTTTGTCAAACCGCCATTTTCTGTCAGTCACAACCTGACTTACAGGAGTATCCTTGATTCCCTTCTGGAGAAATCATTTCTCTAGTCCTCTTACAAATATTCGGGGTTTCCTTACTCTGTTACGGTACTAGCTCGTCCAAAGCTTTGTCCCTGTTAAATTCGTGCTTAGCTAACGCTGCGGACACCCTGCCCTCTGGGAAGCCGAGGTCCATTAGATCACCGAGTATTAATAGACCTTCGATCACCTGAAATTCGAAAAAGATTTTTTGTTAAAAGAACTGTCCTGTTGCTGGTTGTAGTCTGTTGAATTGAGACCTGGTTTAGGTCATAAAGTACAAAATCAATTATTTAGTGAGTATTAAAAGTAGTAAAAATTTCGGTTTCAAAATAATCAATTTGGAGTAGTCGTCTTTTAAGTTTATTCCACTTTGTTCACCTGGTGAAAAAAGGTGAACAAAGTGGGTGATATCACCTAGGTGAACAAAGCACACTTGGAGTCCTCAATTCACCTGGGAATTATTTGACTCAAGTAATCTCACACGTCGTATTTAAAATCCTCCGATTTTCGTTGTATGCTGAGAGCTAAAAGGTTTGAAAAGAAACCTGACACAGACGATTTATCATTCCATTATAATGAGGTTGCTTGTTGTAATGTGATTTGGCTACCAACATCACACTAATGAGTTTAAGTAAACTCTGTTATCGGCCTCGAAATAAGCTACATAATTGGGTTATTATATTATCAGAGTTTTTACTAACTACTTTACTGTAAGTATAACATTTAAATTAACTAATGAACGTTGACTGTGCGGATTGCACTGTTCCTCTCTCTTGTGGATTGTGATTTATTTACTGGTTTGGAACTACTAGCAAACGAAAGTATTCAACGCGACCCGTCGATGGTCTTTCGTTCTGGATTCACTCGCCTCTTCCCCTAGCGGAGGCGACGAGGTCGAGTTGGGGGCGAGTGGGAATATCCCCTCAAAGGGAGCGCCCACCACTTCAACAGCTGAACAAACTTCAAAGTGGTTAGATACCTTTTCTTTGGCATAGAACATCAAAAATTCTTGAACTAGTATCATTGTGAGCTAAGTAGCCAACTATATTCTGATTATGCATGAAGAGATGCATTGCTGCTATTGCATCTTACACGATACATACATACATAGCTACATACAAACATGTATAAAACATTATATTCGCAGGTACCTAGACACAGAATGGTGATACAATATAACACATCCATGTTTTATTAAATGTGTTCATAATTATTATTATTATATGGCCTGTGTCTATACACAAGCAATCTAACAAAAGGGTTTACATTTTATATATTCTCACATCTAGTCTTCTTCGTTGCAAGGCTTTGCTCGTGTAAAGGAAATTGATATTGCAAAATAAGTTAAATAAACCCATTCCTAGGACTGAATTTAGAATTTTGACATGTTCCACATAAAAAATAGTTAAATAGTCATATTTCATAATAGTTACCAATAATCTCGACTATCTGCAAACTTGTTTAACTGCATACATTGACTGTCTGTATACACAACTAATCGATACCAATCAACCGTTCAAAAATAGAGTTCAATTGAAATGGCATTGATATCGATTGAGTTGCAGAAAGCTACTGCATACTAATGTCTTAAAATAATTTTCTGATTATTCGAATATATATAATGAATAAATGAACTAGAGGTTTTGCCAAGTATGCTAAGAGATCCAGCTCAGGGGACTACATCACTACATACTATAAAACAAAGTCGCTATCCGCCATCTGTATGTCCCTATGTCTGCTTAGATCTTTAAAACTATGCAACAGATTTATATGCGGTGTTTTTAATAGATAGAGTGATTCTTAAGGAAGGTTTATATGTATAATACATACATATTGCAAAGCCGGGACGGGTAGCTAGTCAAATATAATAGGTAATTGAGTCTGAATATAATGTTGTTGCTGAATAGAATAATATAAAGTACAGGTATTACTCACCTTCTTGTCATTATCACCTACAAGGGTACACACCCTAGCTACCCTGTCAAGAGGAAAACCCATTCCATGAATCTTCCTACACATGTCCTGCAACTTTGGTGATAACTTCTCAAATGGATTTGGCAAGTTCTCTGTTCTTTTCCTGCTCCTCTTCTCCACCTTACTGTCACTACTTGTAGCGGGAGCAGGAGTAGATGTTTGTGGAGATTGGTTTTTAGGAGCTGGGCTAGCATTGTATGATCTCTCACTCATCCGCAGTTTAGCCAACTCTTCATTCAATTCCTTAACAATATCTGGCACACTTCTGGACCTAGATTTCACTGCAGCCTGTGGACCTGTAGCTGCAGTAGTTTGATCTGAGCTCTCATTTGGCAACACAACTGGGTAAGCCTCCGGCGCATTCCCTGGTGGATATGCCACAGGGACTTGAGGGTACTGGTGATAGTAGTAAGGTTGTGGAATGTATGAACCATTTGGCACATGACCAATATCCGCTGATGTTGTTGGCATTTGACTTCCATAATATGGTTCTACAGGAGTGTATGGATTAGGAGGAACATAGTATTGGTAGTTATGCATGTACATATTAGCAGCTTCATTATCTGTAGGTATATAGTACCCATTGGACATTGGATAATGTTGTGGAGACCCGTACATAATATTTGAATTTTGGATAGGTTGATCTAAATATTGTGCTGGTAGATATGTGACCCCCTCCACATGTGGTTGGGAGGCACAGTTAGGAATGGTGTAGCTATGTTCTGGACCATAACTTGGCTGGGGCTGACAGCTTGTTGTGGAATCTTTCTGACTCTGCAGCACCTGTGCCAGCAACTCCATATCATTTATAGTTTTCAACTCCACATTGTCAAAGGGACTGGATGTATCATTCTCAAAATCTCTAAATGTTAGTGTGTCTATGTTAGGGTTATGCGGTATTTTAGTAATCTTTGTATTTAACTTCAAATTCTGTAGAGGGTCAGGATCATCCAGTAGGCTGTTCTCCTGCAGATGTGTCTTCACCTGTATAGGCTGCAGTATATTAAGCTGAGACTCAACTGCAGCACTAGTAGTAGGGTAGTCAATACTTGTGGACACATCTGTATGCTCTAATGGTTTATCTAATTTAGCAATGTTATCACAGTTTTTATCAGCTTTCTCATCAGGAGACAATGGGCTTATTTCATCAGTGCTAGGGTATGACACCTCGGACACACTCAGCTGTTTGAGCCGCTCCTCGTCCTCAGCGGCAGCTATCGCATCGAGCCTCTTCTGCTCAGCCTCCTGCAACAACTGGAGACGATGCCGCCTTTCATTCTTCTTCGTTTCTTTCGCATTTCTAAGCTCCTTAAGTTTGGCAAGGACGTTTCTTTCAAACGCACACGAATAATTAGCGCTGTCCACGACAGCCTGAGCTCTAATTGGACATTCGTTTACTGTATAAGGTAAATCAAATCTCAGCGGTCTCTTATACTTCTCCGATATTTTAACGGGCACACCGTCCATAAAATCTCCAAAATGTGACATATCAACGCACTGTTCTGCCCAGATAACGATGATTATCAAACAATGAGAAAGCAAAGTTTGTTTCTTTAAACACTTTTAAGGTTACATAGTCCCAATTCAACGTCATCACTCTTTAAACAGTTTTATAATTGGTTTAATAATTGCACACATTCTGAAATATTTCCCATTATCGCTACAAATAATTTATATCTGGAAAGTGAATTATTTTTGTACGTAATTTTATTATTTTTACGTGTGTCTGGCAAATACTGTCAAACAGATTGTAAAACGGAACAAATAAACATTTTGTACATCGTTATGTTAAACAAAGACAGCCATGTTAAATACTCCTTGGAAAGACAAAGATGTATTATATAAAAGCTACAAATCCTACGTTTTAGGAATGGAACGTTTTGCTTAATGTCACTGTCACGCAACCACTAACTGTCAAATAATTGTTGCAAAAGGAAAAACATATAAGCCATGTTTGTCATGTGATTAAAATTTCGTTTATTTTTCTCATTTTCGTATAGAAATAGCGTGTTTTGATGAAAATTGTTCTTCCGAAATAATATACAAATTCTTGGAAAACCAAATTATTTAACTTTTGTCACTGGCTCAAAATGGAACATCGAAATTTGAAGTAGAAAAAAATAAGATCACGTGTACTACTTCAGTCATTTCCGTCAGATGTCGCTAGTGTTGCTCCCTAAAGTCATGGCGGATCTTCCTCATTAGATTTTACAGATTTGCCATAATTCGTGGGTAGATTTATTATTACCGGCGTCGAAATAATTATAGCTAGTTTTGTTCACACAGTGGGAAGCGAGCGACACGTTATTATCGACACAATTGAAGGCCGGAAGCTATAGAATCGGAAAGAACGTCCCACTTGACGATCGTCTCGAATTTCGGCATACTCAAGATAAATAGAATCACTCGATTTCGACGTCGCACCATACTCTAATTAATTTACTACGCCTACTATGACGCAATAGTCGCCCGCCACACCGGACGCCATCGGATTTAACGGTCGAAATACAGGTTGGTATCATAAAATTTAAATGTCTAATTTCGCCGGTGAACCTCTCTCATAACCTGAACTGCCGGCAGGGTAAAGAGGCGGGCATGAACGAGGGCGCGCCAATGATGTATCATGGGAGCGGGGCCTACGGAGGACCGGGGCAGATATTCATGATGGGTGGACAGGAGCGGCCGGCTCGCCACTACCCGCTGGACGCGCTGCAGAGCTTGGGCGGGGGCTCACCAGCCGGACACGCCACTCCGCGCCGCTGGCAGCCCCGCCGCGACCGCCACCCTAGCGCCAAGGGTGGAGGAGACAACACAGCCTTTGGTTATGACTCAGATGACTCCAGCCTCTCAAGTAATGCCTCTGGCTCCAACAAGTCGGGAGAAAAAGGTAAGATTCTATGTGTGTTATCAATGTTAGCTGCTGCATGTTATTATCATGTTTACATCTGTAAACAGGAAGTGCTGAGATGACCCACTGACATAAGTTTCATTAATTAATTTCCTTATTACTTATCTTCTATCGTTAGTATCTTACAAGATTTACTAATTTTGTACCACCCTCATTTTGCATTGTTGAAGATTTTTTTATTATTTGTGGGTTTTTAATTTAATAAGATTGATTACTATTGCAAAGCAATAAAAAATATCTATAAAACGAAAAGAGAAGCATAAATATATGTGAATATTAGATACTAATGTATTGTATTTATGCATTTTGGGTAATCCGGTAATGCTGCTAGGTCGTATAATTGAAAACAATGCTGCTACCACGATTTGTTTTTAAATAAGTACTGTTATAAACAACAAAATAACTTGATAATGCCTTATCACCTTGGTATTAGATAAATAATTTAATTCTGATATTTAATTTAATTTTTTTTTTTGCTTCAATTTTGTGGGGTACTGAGATATAAAAAAAGTTAAATTATTGTGCACCAAAGTTTTGGAGACTGCTTAGTAACCATGAACATTTATCATTTTATATCTGAAGTTGTCACTCTATTACTTATGAAGGCATGTCTTGTGCAAAAATTTGAATGTATTTAATATCAGGACAGTATCAGTCGATATTTGAATACTACTGCTGTTACTTATGTCATTCAGTTCTTGGAATATCTCTGTTGTTGCATCTATCTGTTTGTGTACAAGAAACTTAAAAACTCCTGAATGTATTATAATATTCTATGTGATTTTTATTAGATAATATAGTACTTATAATCTTATAAATTACTATGTTTGAGGAATGTCAGTGTGATTTGAGTATTGCGAAACTGCATGCTGAAGGTATAATAAGCTAAGAATATAGCAGTAATAAGCTTGTCATATAAATCAACAGCATATGATCAAATCACATGTGATCAAATGATACTAGTATAGGGCTCTGTGTACTGAAGTTGTTATAGTACATTCACTAACAAATTATAGAATATCCTTCACAAAAGTGGGCCAGTGCTTGCTAATTACTCTCAACACGCGACTTCTCACGTGGCCACAATTTTATTTTTAATATTATTTCTCAATTTCCTGGCGCCACCAAATGCGCAGTTTTGTTGCAAACTAAAAACGGTGATGTGATAACAAGCAAGATATTCCTATATTTTTAAATAGCTTATGTGATGTGCCTCATGTCGCGCTCGTTATAATCCTCTCCCAAATTGAGCGTAGAACAAATTGTTTACACGAGTTTATGTCCACACATAAAATAAAAAGGAAAATCGTGTAGGCACCTAAACACGCTAGTTAACAATATTTCGTCAAAATACGATGTCGTAATTGTTTGCGTTCCTGTTTACTGTTCCACACGTGTAACCTATACATTTCGTAGATCCAGAATAAAATCCCATTGTAGACACATTTCTGCTGCGGTATATTTAGATGTTTGGAATAGCCTCTAACTCGACGCTATCATTTTGTACTTTATTGCATTATCATAAAGGTGACAATAGAACGCGGCGAGTACATGTCTAACGTGACGTTAACTTGGTATATTAGATAACATTGTAAATAATATCTAAATGATTTAACCTTGAGAACGCCAGAGATAAGTAAATAGATCGGTATGATTCTCTCGAGAAGCGTGTTTACACTGATATGAAGCTGAGAAAATAGAAAAATAGCGCACAGTTAATGCCGCCCCATTTACACCCATCATGACCGACTCTCGCAGTGACGCGCAAATTCTGAAGACGCACAAGTTTAGCACACCACCTTGTTTTAAAATTCCTATGACGCTCATTCTCAACGATGTGTATACTCTCAGTAACTACAAGACGCATTACTACCGTACAATGAAAAGAAAGGTATTATTGAAAAAGTTTGCAGAAACTTGTTTTATTATGGAAACATGTTACTCTGGTAGGAAAATTACCGGTATGTGGCTTACTAGTCGTATCGAAAACTAAAACTAATTCAACTGCGTCTCAGAATGCGTTAAATTTAACGTAAAATCATCAGACGTCAGTTTGTTTAAGTACCTGCACTCACCTAAGACTACGGTTAGAATTTTACTGTTCTCGTTGGTAAATAGAGCGAGAAAACATTATTAGTTAGCTTGGAGATCTAAATACGAGAAGTATCCGCTTTCAGATAGCAAATCGTCCGTTGAATTTCCAAATTAGCATAAAAATCTTCGTTGTTCGTTATGGTATGCTACTTCACGACTGCGAATAGGACGACGATAAAATTCGTATTAATACATCTACTATTCGACATTTGTACGTATTACTTAGTATATCGTATGGAACTTCAAATTAAAATGGCATTTAAAAAAATTACACTATTCAATGAAACTCGTACGTACCAAATGGCACACTGAGGTTTCTGCCTGCCCCCATAGGACTATACCACGTTAAATCATGTCTGTAAAAAGACACGAGATGTGAATAGATAAAGTTATTATACGACGTTATAATCCTTTTTCTATTAATACTAACCGTAAAATGACGTCGGTATTGAATAAAAACTATTTTAAAACGATTACTCTTTGAATGCACGTAAGGCGGCATGACACACTCGAATATTCTCGAATAGTGCGCTTTATAGATTATAACGCACACCAAAGATGTAATAAACATGTACCTACCTAGCCTACGCAGCAGTGCGTTCACGTAGCTGTATATACTTGTACCCATTTACTGCTATTTACAAACGAAAACATATTTTTGGGAAGTCCAGAAAGATGAGTAAAAAATCATATAAGGCTAAAGCGAAACAAAACCACTAATATAGAAATACCGTCCATTAAAACGTCCGTAGAGCGGCTAATCTGAATTTTAAAAGGCATGACATTGTTTTTGTTACAAGTTGTATAACTTTTAATTTGTATTTATTTAAAAATGTGCACCGTAAATTCCATAACAAATTACTATGGAACTTTAATGCATATAATTGCAACACGAATCATTTTTCTCGATAGAAACTATTTACATCTGTTGCGATTCCATGGAAAATAAGAATCTTTAACTAACGTTTACACATATTTATTGATTACTGTTGTTAAGCCGTTAAAAATTTATTTTTTTTCGAACTGCAGCCAATTAAAACTTGATCTTAATTTTCCAGTATGTTGCTTCACGTAAATTGTGTAAGTAGAATTTATTAAGTAGTCGGGTAGAAACACTAACAACTGTTTTAAAGCTAAGCCACTTTATCAAAATAGACCTAAGTGATACGCACATAGAATTCATATTGCATCAATTCTTAATGATGTCAAAAGCGCAGTGGACCAACAGGTAACTTGTGAGTCAACTCGTAGCTACATTTACCTAATTTAGTTATAAGAAATAGGATATCCTTAAATTACAAGTTGACTTAACTCTGTCTGGTTAAACCCTGAATGTGAATAGCTAGTTTTTGAAATTCTAGTGGAATCTAGTGTTTTCCTGTTGCATCCAACAAACTTTCGTGTTAATATCAAACTATCGATGCTTTCACGTGATATGTGGAATGTAGAATGATAAATCCGTGCAATATCATAAGCAACATTATGACGTAAAGGAATCGGGAAACCCACTCATTGAAACGAGTAGCTACTTGTAACTAATATTAATTAATTGCATTTCCACTTGCGACTTACTCTAACGTACTCTCGTACGTTCATAATACGATTTTCTAGTCATATCGGGATAAAAATTGTGCAAATAAATAATTTGAATTTGAATTTGAATTTGAAAACAATGTCTCTCCCTTAAATAGCAAAAGATTTTTTACATTTAGCCAGTAATAACAAAAGCGATTTCTTTCTTCCATATTTTATTTTATTATTATTATTTAGCGGACCCTGCGAACTTCAATTTCGGCTTAGAATTTTTTTTCTTACAAAAGGACCTACTAACCATATCAAACGCAACAAAAAAAGCATAAACGAAATCGGTTCAGCTGCTCTTGAGATTTGAGCTTAGCAACACATTCAGCGATTCATTTTTATTGTTATAGATAGATATCAAACGAATACGTGTACTACGTATGTTCTTTTGACAATAAAATGTCAGTATACCTGTGAAAGAGGTCCCCTACTTTAAAATTAGGGCACTTATGAACACACTGATTGCTTGCGGTCCCCATAGCAACTGATATGTCGCAGTGCCACGCTTTACGATACTAGTAACTATGTATATGCTAGGTCAAAATTGTTTGCAGCTATTTCGTTAGCTCATTTATAAGGAACCACTCATTTAAAAACGGTTTTTTAAATTAAATTTTTTGAAATACAAAATTTCAGCTATTCACATAAAACTAGGCGATGAATTATACTTTTAATTTGTTGTGGATATCTGTATTACAAATTACAATACTTATAATAATTATTTACATTGTAGTCTCGTTATAGGTATTGATGGGTATTATGACTATAGTTGGGCCATTACAAATATGCGAACTGTCACGTCAAAGGAATGTAATGTGATAATGCTGCACAACTGGCATAAGTGTGAGTGAGAGAGCTGATAAAAATGTATGACAGTTCGCACCTTTGTCATGTCCCCCCAACTATAGTCGGGGTATTCCCTGTCTGATGTTCCTCCCGTACGGACGTATCGAATACAAGAACAACAATTATCAACATATTAAAATAAACTCTCGGACATTTTGCAGAATGTGTATGTGTTATTTTCCTTTTTATTTCCTTACGTTTATTCTTATGAACTTGACAATTCTAAAGTATCCTACTTCTGTAAACCTAGAAACTGCTAAGTATACTTAGCTTAACAGTTGGACAACGTTAAACAATCCAAATGTAACGTAATTGCAATAATTTAAGATTGCAAATCAATTGAAGAAAGACTACCTTATTAGTAAAGAAATGCTTAAATCGTATTAGATATATAGATGCAATATATTTGTGTGATGTAGGTGAGGAGTCATCCCGCAACACGGAGCGTACGTCGGGCGGGCACTACACGGGCGGCTACGGCCAGGTGCGGGAGTGGCGCGGCCGTCGCGGCCGGGACGTGCGCCCGCAGCGACGCATCGCGCCCGAGAGGTATCTCAACGGCTCCTACCCGTTCCAAGTCAAGTTTACGCCCGACGACTTGCTAAATGGTAAGTGGTGTAATAAGAAATCTTCTAAACACAAAATTATAAATTATAACACTTCTCTGTGTTATCCTGCGGTTGACTGGTAGAAAATATCATTCAGTATTAAGTCCGCCCCTCTAAGAGTTAAGGGATCTTCAAAACCTAGTGTAACACTTTCCTGCTGTACTCAGCAGTTGATTAGTAGAGAATGAATGGCAGACAACGTATACATAGATATAAAACATTACCATGATCGGGCCTGTTTCTGACCACTGTCAGACACAGGTTTTTCCAACGGCACACCTCTGAGCTCGACCTTTATATCTTCGCACCCAACCGCAGTTCCCGCGGTCTTAGTTGCAAGCAATGCAACATATTCAAATTAAGTGATAAACCCAATGGGCTGGTCACTTATGTTTAATGGACCATCTACCATATGGACCATGGGTAAGATTTTATAATACTTAAAACCAATTATTTCTTACAGGTGAAAAAGTGCCAGAACTGTAAAAAAATATCGACACGGGATGTATTATGTTCTATTAATTTCTTAATTTTTATTATTAAAATGAGACATTATGGCAATTATTCCATTTTCGTCTTATTTGTTATTTACACAAATGTACAAAATATGATAATGAGTTAAAACAAAATATTTGAAAACAAGACAAAAATACAGTAATATGCAAAGGAAGTGATAATAGTTGCCATTTGCATATATAATATTAAATTATAAACATGTGTTAAAACAAGAGTTTAAGTTCAAGGTTATTTTATACAGACAAAAATAATAGTAACAAACAAAAAGATGTATATATATTGTTTACCGACAATATATGTTCCTGTAGCAAACGACTTTCAAGCGTATATTAGTGAAGGTACTTGTTTTTTATATACATTTAATACTTCTAGGTTCAAAATGGGACACACTGTCTCAAGAAATCTGGGATAAGTTCATAAAATCACAGCAAACAGAGGAGACATTCAGAAAGAAAATGAACCTTTGGAGATATCTTTTCATCACAATAAAGGTTTGTTTACGATAAAATGAAACACATTAAACATCATGACATTGTTAACATCCGGCAAGCACAAAACTTTTTTTTTTTTTTTCAAAAACTGCCTATGACCAAGTACTTGTTGGCAATTTTTTTACCTAAGCTATTCTGAAACTGCAACCAGTCAATCTGGGGTAGGCATTTCATATTTTCAGTGACCCAATTGTAGAAAGGTCAAGGATATCTTAGTCCAACAATTTATATCTTTCTCTTGATGACGAGATTGTAACATGTTTCCAGACAATATTCCCGCGCTACGGTCTGTACGTGGTGGGCTCGACGATGTCTGGCTTCGGCCTGGACTCGTCCGACATGGACCTCTGCCTGTACGTGCGGCCCGTGGACGACCTCGACCCGCGCTCACACGCACTGCTGCATCTCAACTATATACTAAGCTACATACGGAGCTTCGATCCTAGTGAGCATACATTTAGTATCTTACATTAAACGTCGAAATTTTAACCATTCTTACTAAAAAATGCCTATCGAGGCATCTAGGTTTTTGACAGAAATTCAATAGAACTGATTGGACACGACACTTGCAATACCCGAGGAAGAGAACCTTTGTAGAAAGATTGGCTCTCTGTAAAATCAGAAAATCAGGAACCTCAGAAATACAATGCTAGTGGTTTCACATCGGTTTTTTGTGAGACCTCGGTATCACTCCTGTGGAGCTGTGGAGCTGGTACATTGATTACATTTGTTTCAGATGGCATGGATTCTCTTAAAACACGATCACTGTATTTCACAATAAGTATAAAAATTGTGCAACAAATCTGATCTATGAAATCTATAGACTTCGTATGAAATAATTGTTATCTGTATGTATAGTTAGAAACTGATTATGAAAATGCTTACTCATTGCGTTTTACGCCATATAAAACATGATTAATTTATGCATTTGCGATGATGAATGTCATAATTTAAACTTATTAATCATCTTAGTATAGATAATTCTAGAAAAAATTCTGATTGAAGAACATAATTATTGCAATTGATTATTTGTGATTTTCGCATTGTAGAAACTCGTGCCCTGTCGGGTTTACGCATTTGTTAGGTTTTTTATGGGAATCAAAACAAGCATACATATCAACTGATCACTTAAGGACGTCAGACAAGTTACGATTGTGTTTTCGATTAGGTACTTTTCCTTACCAGCAACCTTACAATTACCAGTTCTAGTTATTAATACGATCCTAGTACATATGAATGACTAACATAATAATCGTTAACAGTTATAATTATCCCCCCACTGTGGTGCACTTAGATGCGGAACTGATCCAGGCGAAGGTGCCGATACTGAAGTTCCGAGACTCCCGCAACGGTCTGCAGGTAGACCTCAACTGTAACAACGTCGTCGGCATACGAAACACTAATCTACTGCACTGCTATTCTAGGCGTGAGTACTATACTTGATAACGTGAATAACTAATTATATTCCACGTTATTTGACTTGGTAATAGCACCATGTAATAAACTTGGACATTTTATACTGCTATCTTAAAAAAAGATGATCTAGAGCTGCAGCCAGAGTAAAAAGGTATGTAAAATAAGTTTTAATTTAGTAATGAAAAAAGCTTTTAATGTAGCCAAGAACGTTGAAACAAGGGAGGATGTAATGTCACTTGGGAGCCGAAATGTCGGTGGTATAACTAAACCACGTTACCAGACATAGGATATTACCCAAATATTTCAAAAATAATTTAAGTATTTTTGAGGTTCTATTGACTTGACAGAAGGTTTAAACTGTCAAACACCAAGCGGTCACCGGTGACCGCAACCTATTGTTCTTTGATTATGTCTATAAATACGGTACTCGACGAGTTAATTCAACTTATTCAACTGTGGCACCAAATTCAAACATACCAAATCATTGCACAAATAATAATATAGTATAGCTATACCACTAATTTATTCTTGGTTAATTACAAAATATATACTTAACTAAAATAAAAATATTTTTTCATAAACATTTGCATTATCTAATTGTATTAATAGGCCAAATTTTATTATGACATTTGCAACTATCAGACCTTGCAAAATGGTTGAAAAGTATCTTCTTTTTTTATTTGCATCAAATAATTCTTCCATGCATTATTTGCAAACCGTCTATCAAACAGAATAATAATGTAAATTATATGTATGTATCTACTACAAGATTTTATTCAAATTCAGGGAAAATGAAAACATTAATTAATTTGCAACACAATAATGTATGAAGTGTAATTACAGACCATGTCAAGTGACAGATATACTTCGTATCAATCTCTGCATGTAAATCTATAGGATCCAGGCTGTCTGCCTTTCTTTTTCGACGTCTTTGATGGGGTCATATTTGTACTTCCTCAATGAAGTTGGGCAAGTCTATCAATATTATTTATTGAACACTAGCTTTTACCCGCGGCTTCGCTCACGTCACAAAAGGATAAAAAGTAGCCTATGTGACTATCCATCCCTTCAACTACCTTCAATTAAAAAATCACGTTAATTAGTACCTCCGTTCTGCCGTTTAAGTCACGCAAACAAACAAATAGCTTTCCGCTCGCGTGGAATTCGGTTATATCGCGCTATTTAGATTTTTCCAATAAGTAGGTAATTCGTTGACTGGTTTTAAATGATACAACGCCATCTATACCGATTCACACAGCGCCATCTATACCAATATTTTTGTTTTCCCTCGGAAATATCAAATTTTTCCGGCATAAAAAGTACCCTATTATTTAATCCAGACTTCTAACTTTACGTCTGCAAAACTTCAAAGCAATCGGTTTAGTAGTTACGGCGTGAAAGCAGAACAAACAAACAAACAAACAAACTCACTTTCCGATTTATAATATAAGTAAGGAAGTAAGGATTATTCATTTACAACGTCATTATTATTATAAAAGGTATCGATGACGAAATTATTTGTACCTATTGCATTTATGGCAACATGCCTTGTGCAATATAATAATGTGAAGTGAGTATGACATGTGTGAACGATGTTGCAAGGTGCAAGATTCGATGGAGACATGTTTTTATTGGAACCATTTAGATAAATGGAGTCAGTTGACTTCTTGTCTTAGACGAAGTTACTCCTTTTTTTTGAAGTAAGGCTTTTATCAATAATACTTATTTTGAGGAATAATAGAAAAGAGGTTAGGAATTGAAATCTTCCTTAAAGGTAGAATTACCGAAAGTCGTTACGTTCGTGTTGCAGTGGACTGGCGCGTTCGTCCGCTGGTGGCGCTGACCAAGCTGTGGGCGCAGGCGCACGACATCAACGACGCCCGCCACCGCACGCTGTCGTCCTACTCGCTCACGCTCATGGTCATCCACTTCCTGCAGTGTAGGTATCCGACAGGGGCGGCGCGAGGGGCTCGGGAGCGTCCGAGCGGTGCTACAAGTGGTCGGTTGCAGGCGGCACGGTGCCGAGCATCCTGCCGCGCGCGGCGGAGGCGGGCGCGGGCGCGCGGCGGGCCCACAACCGCAGCTCGCTGGCCGAGCTGTTCGTGCAGCTGCTGCAGTACTACGCGTCGTTCCCGTTCGAGCGCATGGCGGTGTCGGTGCGCGCGGGCGGGCGCGTGCCGGTGGCGGCGTGCCGCGCGGCGCGCGCGCACAAGAACGACCCGCACCAGTGGAAGCTGCTGTGCGTGGAGGAGCCCTTCGACCTCACCAACACGGCGCGCTCGGTCTACGACCCCGACTCCTTCGACAAGATCGTGTCCGCCTTCCGCACGTCGGCGGCGCGCCTGGCGGCCGGCCTGCGGCTGGCGGACGCCTGGCCGCAGCGATGATGGCGGCCCCCGGCGCCGCGACTGAACCCGTGTAACTATAGTTGAGTATTTATATTGTACTAGAGACTACGAATGTGCCACTATGAAAATTATATGTTTACATTCCATAGTGCCATGTATTTATTAGTTAGTTTTGCTTCGTTTTGAGGTGCCATTTTTATTGAAGCCACTGTCTTATTGCTTCCCGTTCGGGACGGAGTCGCCGCTCCGCCAGATACGAGCCGGCCCGTGGCTGGGAGTGTAACGGCGGACTTGTACTGGCGACGTGCATGCACTACTTTACCAAAGTGAGAGAATGTACAAAAGCCGGCATGCAGCTTTTGTCGTTTTCATTTGCCTATCTATAGATCTCAATTACTTGAATGTTCCATTTTGTTGTTATGGTGTAAACCAGTAGTTTGTAACAATCGCAGTGTTATTATTTCTTTAGACATTATTTATGTAATAGAACGCAATGTAAACTCAGTGCTCAATTCGGACCAAAGTTAAGTGAAAATATATATATATTAATTCACGCTTCACGCGCATTTTTTTACTTCAGTTGTCACAATAAAAATTATACCTCAAAACTTAATGTTTGGATAAACGCCACGCAAGCAACACTCGCCCGCGCGAGGCGACCAACCCCAGCTACCCCGCGCCACCCCGGGCGGCGCGGCCGGCGGCGCGGGCGCAGTGTGTGTACCAAATCGTCAGTAGTAGTGTACACGTGTCGTGTCGTGGCACGTCCCAAGACTGAGACAAGACTCGACACACAAGTAGAGAGTCGAGTTCGTTCCCTAGTCGAAGTAGTCAGTTTCTGTGACCTGTGACCGTCGCAATACAAATAGTCACGCAGCCTCGACCAGGCGTCCTATTCGTTTTTAAAATGTTTATTATTGTTTATTTGTAAGTTATTTAATACGTGTAAATAGTAAGAAATAAAAAAATACATAAATATTCATTTTAGGGTCGTGTATGGTTTTTATGTAAATAGTATTTTTGTGATGAGGAAAGGGTAAATGACAAAAAAATATATATTATATAGAATAATATATTATACGATGCATGCTTTGCGTGGAGGGAGCCAGGACCCGCTCGCGAGACGTTATATATGTGGGAGAGCGTACGATGGGACACGAGAAATTCCCTGTGATACTATGTGAAAGAAAATTATATTGTGTACGTGTACAGTGTTCGATATTGAAGTAATCGTTTAAAGGTGCTACAATTAGATACTACGCTCCGAACGCAACGGTTGCGGCTCAATAACAAACGTTAGATACGAGAGACGCACCCGGCGGCAGTGGCGGGCAGGGTCGACTCTGTCACTCACTGCCCACGAGGCGGGGCGTGTCTAGGGTACAGGAGAATGCGTAAAACTTAAATAATGGTGCTAAATCATTGTGTTGCCTTATATTTGGCGCTGAGTTACGCTTAATATACATTGTAACGTAACAGATGCTAGACTACTATAAGATTATTGAAGGCTTCCGTACAACGACATGTACAAGTTTTATAAAATGTATTTACACAATGTTTCCTGTAAATGTAAGCTACTGTCAAACTACATCTTCCGACTTGAACTGATATACCTAACGTCCCACGAATACTATAACCAAGTCTTGTCAAATTCATACAATACGCCTTCTATAATCTTTCCTCGCTAGATAGTCCTATTTAATAATTTACTTGTTACCGACATGTTCATTTATCTATTTTCTCAAATTGAGAAAAACATAAATAAATGTGTCATCCTATAAATGTATTTTAAAAAATTGATCATATGTATTACCACAAGACCGCGTCAAAATTCTGTTTACCATTAGCTATTGTCATTTTTCGCGCGTAAAATGAGTAGAAATGTGTAAAAGAATGTTTTGATGCGTTCTTGTACCACTATGTACTATTTGATTAGCAGAATTCCTATAATTATATGTGAGGATACTAACAATGCATATCTTTAAAGTAATACAAAGAGTGTATAAAAAATATTACTTGCCCAGATTAGGAATTCTGTCCCTTATGAACTATGACGTCGCAACTGCATTCGTCATAATGGAATGACAATATGAACTGTTCACTTTTTACTGGGCCATAGTTTTACAGCTTTTTACGCATGAACTCGAATCAAAATTCTGTTGTTTAATAAAGTTCATAGTTTTCTAAATTTTTGGATAATAATTTAGTGTTATACACGTGTCGTTAGATGATGATAATTATATTATTCAGGTTAGGTCGGCATCTACCGATATGTTTGCATCGATGCCTCGCAATTGTTTCGTTAAGTTTACAATACTAGCCACTAGCGTTTACGTAGACTAGAAATTGTTAAGTTTTGTTTTGTAATGTTAGTTATGAAGTTCACCATCCGGACGTTGTCCCTCATAGCCCGAAAGCACTGACACTACTTGATGTAATACGCCTGGCATTTTATATCGCGTTATCTATAAGTTTTATAAAGATTTTACATAAGAGGCACTTGGCCGCGCTGAATAATTAAAGTACAATAAATAATTTTTAAAAACAAGTTATGTGTAAGAAAACTGATTAGAGTTATAAAGAAAAGTGTCTCTCAAAACAGTTGATTTTTTGAAAAGATATAAAAAAATTCGACACTCGATTGAAAGAACAAAAAAAACTATAAAATTAAACCTCCAAAAAAATAAAACCATAAAATAACAAAAAAAAATAATAAAAAAGTAAAAAAATATAAAAAAAAATATATAAAAAGTGTAAAATTCTGAGAAAAATTATTTTGACAATTCAAATTTTATTGCATGTTTTGTTGGCTTTCCATCTGCCTCCTTATGAACTGTTTTTTTAAACAGGTTGTTTAAATCAATGTTTATGTATAATAATTATGTGTTTTATTCAAATATAAAAAATACAAAAAAAATCATGTCTGGGTTTGGTTTGCAAAGGTAGCTGAAGGCAATATTTTACCAACCCATAAAATATACCGTTATTACGGCCATTGGACGTTGCCACAACTCTGCTTTGCATCGAAGCTGCAAGTGTTGTGGCCACACCTATTGATGTAATATAAACATAACATAACATAACATAACATCACGCCTTTAATCCCCGAAGGGGTAGGCAGAGGTGCACATTATACCACTGTACAATGTAACACCCACTTTTCACTATTTATGTTATGAGTCCCATGTAATAGGGGGTGAGCCTATTGCCATATACCGGGCACAATTCCAGACTCCGTGCTACTACTGAGAATATTTAAAAACCCAGTAATACTTTGCCCGACCCGGGAATCGAACCCGAGACCCCTTGCCCGGCAGTCGCACTTACGACCACTTGGTCAACGAGGCAGTCGTAATATAAAATATGTGTATATTCAACACCACATCGAGAGCTCACATCTAATGCCAAGTTTCCTTTAACGCCAGGCTACTCTTGTGTGAATGGTGTAAAAAAAAACATGAAATAAATATTTTCAAACAATACCTATAAGACTTGAAGACAAGTGACATCCCAATGTTTTATCTCAATAAAACTAGCTCCTAGACAATACTACAACTAACATGTCCAAAACGCACATTTATGTATTTATAGTTAAAAGGTTGCTATGTCCTGCTCTAAGGGTACTCTTACAAAAAATAGATTAATAAAAACGCCCTATACCATTAGTTAAACGTCATCTAATTGGAAAAGAGCTAGCTGGCTTACGTATCGTAATACGGTACCGCGTTGGGTTATATACTTTCGAATGATAAACAGAAGTTGATCCACGTTGTGATTTAAATCATTTGTGCCGGCGTGGATACTATCAGGTCCAGACACGCCATTAGGCAATGTTATACTTACGGGCTATATCTGGACTATTGTAACCATCACTGCCATGTGGACGTCCTAAAATCTAACAGCCAGTCTCAATTACGTATCTGTTGGTATTTCCGAGTATAAAGATGTAATTTCGATACAATTTGTGAAAACCAGCTAAGCTACTCACAGAAGTCACAGGAGTTATTGAGGCTGGTCGTAAGATTACAAGTTTCGTGTACGTCTACGTACAAATAAATCGTTCAGATATACCTACATAATATATTTTGATCTCTCCTTGGCAGTATTTTATGACCACATTTTCGCTTTGCCTATCAATATAAAATCTGTAATTTAGTTGCGTACTTAATTTTTTCATATGGTTATTAATAATGTTGTGGTTCAAAGGAATAAAATGCAAATTGTTCGTCCTGAATAAACAATAACGTATTTCATATGAGTCTAACTTTATTGTTGGTATAATTATAAAGAAATAAATATGCATCGACATCGTAATGTATTGTATACTATTGTAATTATCTGTATAGTGTGACCATGTAATATATTTTTGCCTCCAAACGGCCTCTTTTTTGTAAAGATATATATTTTGTCACGTTTTTGACAACTTTAATCTTGTGTTGCATTTTATTTTATTGAACACAAGCAGATTTTTATCTCCATATTGTACAAAGAAATTATTGTAAAGAAATATTCTGTAATAGTTAAATATATACAACTGCCAAATAACTTTGTTTTATTTACCTATGTCTAGAAACCTGAATTCCTAAATACCCATGAGAGCTAGCAATATAATTATGTCCATTGTCCGAAATAGTTGGTATGTAGGTCCTTTTACTAAGAAAGTGGTAATTCACGATGCGCCCTTCCATTGACTTCAGTATAATGCAGTTATACGATTATCGATAGTATTGAAGTTTTTTAGTGTTAGGTAGTTCCACTAATAAATTGCAACAGAAGTTAACTATATTTATTCCGATGTAGTAGGGCCTCATTAACACAATAAGAATTGTTAAATATGAGTAGGAAATAATAATTAGGTATATATACTTATTATTGCAAGAACATTTTGACAAGTACAGCTAGCTGCCTTGTTTTACTATTATTGCTATGGAACCCTGGTAATTTTCACAGAAATCCTAATGTCATTCAATAATTACCCTGCTACGGCCAGAATCAAAAATTTATTAACACATTAAAATAACAGTGGACGCCAGAGTGCAGGTAGATTAGAGGTAAAATCAAAGTAGGCGACTTTGATTTTAAAAAGGCATTTGACGCGGTTGATATCGACATACTGCTGGTGGGGTTTACTCCATACTTATTAAACTTCGCCAGTTACATGAAGAACAGGCAGCAGGATGTTGACTACAGAGGTACCGAGTCTGAATCATATTTCATTGGTCTGGAGTAAGTCAGGGTAGCAACTTGGGGCTATTGGAATTCATTACAATGATCAACGATTTACCCTGGGGTAGTCAAACATGCACTGTTTGCTGTTGACGTCAAGTTGCAACTTGAAATAAAGATGTATCGGATTCTGAACGTCTTCAAGAGGATATGTAGATTAGAGGCAAACGCGCTGACTGATCACTTGATGGTAAGCGATTAGCGCCGCCCATGAACACCCGCAATTCCAGAGGAGTCACAGGTGCGTTGCCGGCATTTTAAAAAGGAATACGCTCTTTTCTTCAAGGTTTAAAGGTCGTATTGGTTCGGAAATACCGCCGACGACAGATCATTCCACAGTTTTGCTGTGCGAGGCAGAAAGCATCGTGAGAAGCGCACAATTGTGGCATATGTTGTCGTGAGAAAAACTAAATGGTATTGAGCTTGGCTTTATATTCCGTACTCTGAATGCTATTTTAACTAACAGCTACGATAGGGGATTGTATAGTTTTGACATTGATTAATTATTGAGACTATTGGATTGAAATTGATTTGACATTGAGATTGGTTTCAAAAGTTAGCACCCTGATCGGTACGTGTGGAGGCGACACCGTCCGCCACTGCTGGCCAAGACCCCGTTCAATCGAATCATTCGCATGGTGAATGAGGTTCAAACTTCAGAGTCGTTTATAGACATGTTTTCAGGTAATACGAGTGATCGAGTAATAATTATTACACAAATGCATATAATACATGTAATAGATTTTTTGAAATTATTTGTAAAAAAAATATTATAGTTACATATATTTCTTTATGGGGAACATTATTGTTTTTTTTTATTTATCTGAAACTGTTCTATTGCATCCAGGTTTGTGTGTCGTAAATTTAATAATATGTAATAATAGATAGGCTCACCCCCTATTACATGGGACTCACAACATAAATAGTGAAAAGTGGGTGTTACATTGTAGTGGTATTATGTGCACCTCTGCCTACCCCTTCGGGGATAAAAGGCGTGATGTTATGTTATTTGTAGAACATACTATCGTTTTGGATTAGTCTGTACTCTGTAATGATAGTTGTTAGCACTAAAATAATATTCAACACTAGCAAACCCGGCGAGCTCCGTTTCGCCACCAGATGGCTTCGTTTTATGTAACATTTCGTTTGGTGATTAAAAGTTGAATTTTTTTTTTTGGTTTTGTATTTTATAAACCTCACGCAGCCTTTGGAAATCGGTTCGTGCGTTCTGGAGTTATAGCGTCAGGAAGAAAAACCCGACTTATTTGTATATAGTAGATGACAAGCGCCAGAAATAAAGAATTATCCTTGTGGCCTTAGCGACGCTAATTTTAGAACGATGTTAAATGAAACTAAAATTAACTTCGTCATTATCTTTATTGACATTTAATCTCCCAAAGTAGTTTAAAAAAACATTTTCACAGAATCTAGTCCGAAATGGATTATTTGTTAAATCTATCTAACTTTTTAAAGGGTCACAACATTTAACCCTATTTTTATAAATAAGTAATAATATATTAGTTACATCACACCAAATTTAAATTTTTATGTATGGTGCGATGTTTTTTAGACATCAATTTGAATAATATAAAATGTTCGTGCCTTGCAAAAAACATTAATTCGTGTAACATTACTATAAAGAAACAGTAACATGTAATGGAAGGTTTTGTAATGTAGACTATACACAAATAAGGCGTCAATTATTGCAACTTCAATAATGTTTACAAAATGTAAAAATCACTTGTGACGACTGCATACTTCAGATGTCAGATGCATTAGCTTACAATACAACTGTCCTTACTGCCTACACCAGAAGAACTATTTTTTCTACATGACATTCTAGTAAAACAAAGTACCTTTTGGTACTAGATAACACTACTACTGCCACATTGCTCGACATTATTTCAGATTCCGATGAAAATAGAATTAAAGCCGAAACTTGATGCCAACAATTTTTTGATACAATGCTATGTATACTTTTACAAACCGTCGTCATAAAAGACAGCGTTTTCAAATACATACACAAAAATATACACCTTACGAATCTAATAAAATAGGTTAATCGTATAATAAAATTAAACTGCATTTTGCAGGAGAACATACCTGTGTCTAGCGTGGCCAGACAGGTAAGGAACTAAATATGAATAAAGTCAAATACTGAAACCCTACTCTCTCCAGACTACCTGCGGACTGGCGATCAACGAGGTCATGTGAGCTTCGTCAACATTTTGGAAGACAAAACTTTATACACATCCATTATAATGTTACAAATATCTTAATCCTTGAGAATTGCTAGTCCGAAGATGATCCATTTTTTCTATAAATCCAATCATTTACATGACAATTCCTTCACAGCGATCAGTATATCGTCAATCCGACTATCCCTGTCTCTTCGCATACGCTAACACTACCTACATCATTAGAATAATCTAAACCTAACTAATATTTAACACTACTGTAAACCGCGGCATTTTATTTATGTGTACTAAAATATTTTGGACAGATCATGACCACGTGTTGGTGACCAAAAAATAAACTTTGTGTAACCCATACACATAATACAAAATATCAGATAGATTTTGTGTTAACTAATGTACAATTAATGGATATCGATCCTCCTTATGAAGTTACGAGGTCTGTGAAGCCGCGCTTTGTATTCAGACCGGTTAGTTCGTCAGCTCGCGTAGTCGACAGGCCTATGGACGACACGTAGCAATGGTCGCACGGCTCCAGGTGCTCTTATCCGTTACTTCTTGGCGGGATTCTCCGATGCATCCATCTTCTCTTCTGTCTTGACAACCTTACCTTCACCTAAAAGCATAAATATTGTTTTAATATAAATTGCAATTCGTTTTACTGTGTAAATTGTAAAAGACTAATTTTAAGATCAGAGTGCCATGTCGTCAGCAAACGATCGAATTTCGAAGAACATTGCGGGGCATTGAATAACTCAACGCCGTCGCTAGCTCAACAGACTTCGAACGCTTTACGACTCGTCATCAAGTCTCATCATGTCCAAAGTTATTGAAAAGATTCACTAAAAGATAGTGTGATATGGATTGAACCCCTATTTTGATTGAAAAGGGATGGAAGTGTGAAACATCACATCGAATGAAGGGTAATCGCAAGTTAAATAAGAAGAGTGAATGTGAGTGTATCTGAGTAAATTACCGTTGGGCGTGTCAGGTTCGGTGTCAGTGTTGGAGCGCCTGCGCTTGCGCGGGAATTTCCAGGCTCCCGTCGCATGCTTCAGCTTAGGCAGCGGCTCCATGTCTAGCACCTAAACACACAGTTTTATGTTTAACTTTGAATATTTTTCAATATATTGGCAATCACATCATCATCAAAATCATGATTTTACCTTGTGTATCTGCCTGAAGGCAATTTGTCTAAGGAATTGTTGGGCCGAAGCAGTCAGATCCTCACGTTTCTGGGGCGGCAAGTTACCCAAAGCGTCCTGAAATTTAGAACCGGTTTTGCATACATTTTTGTCTCAACACCATATCTCCTTCATTATTATATCTATGGTTGCATACGTACGTTGAGTTCCTTCTCGCATGGGTCCCGTAGTCCAGGTCCGTGGTCCAGTAGCAGTCCCCCGGCGACTGCCTCCATGACCCGGCGCAGCGCCTCGCCCGGCGACAGCGCCGCGCCCGCAGACTGCATCACGCCGGACACCAACAACTCCATCGCCTGCATATACCACAAGCACACGCTCACTTACTTTGCTACATACACTACTCACTTCATTCTCAAGCTACATGTTAATACGTTCGCAAATAATAAAGATGTATTGTCAGAGAGATACTCACGTAGGGGTTGAGCGGAGTCCAGTTGGGAATGCGGCGGCAGAGGTCGCGCATGACGCGGATGATGATGACGCAGGACTGCAGCGTGGCGGCCCTGGCCTGAACATAAGGAATCGTCACGAACGCTCGAGGTAGCCACTAAATGCGACTAACTCGAGAAACTGCGTTTCCACTTTACATGACTCCTCTCATTTATGGCTACAGAGTGCCAGGAAACGCAGTTTGGGCACATAACAAGCTGTAGCCACATGTTCATGGGAGTTCAGGTTGAATCTACTTTAAAGAAAACTTTCACTACTTTATATGATTGAAGTTAATAAACATGTGACTAAAAATACGTGCGCACTCCCGCATTACAATTTAATTATAAAATATAAAGCTCGACTCAACAATGACTCGGGAATAAATAACAGACAGTCGGAGTCTTCGGTAGCTTCCATAGGGCAAGTAGTAGTTAGCAAGTGAGTGGAGTGCGCACACGTATAAGTTAGGCGATGTACCTGGAACCACTTGGCGTGCCGAAGGGCGGCCAACGCGTCCAAACACTTCTGCCGCGGTAGCACATCCTTGTCGTCTCGCTTTATGTCGCCACCGTCTAGCGACAACAACACAAAGGGTGTTTGACCATCAACACATCGACGAAACCGGGGCAAACATCAGTACAAGGGACCTGACCCTGCACCCGACCCCGAACCAAACCCCGCGCTACTCAACGCATGCAGACCCAGGCCGGGCAGCGCGGGGTCCGAATATATACAAGCGGGACTTAGCAACATTATTCAGTATTACATTATTATGGAGTGTCTATGCAAGGCTCGTGTCAGATTATTTTATACTATTATGAAAAGCTTCCAAATGCAATTAGTCCTAAATCGGATTCGGATATGATAAAGAATCGTAAATAAAGAAAATAATAAATATATAGTGATAGATATAAAGGAAATGTTTGCTCCGTTTCAGTGAGTGATATACCAGTGCGGAGTCGACGCACGTGATATATCGAAATAGATGATCAAAAATCCTTTTCTTCTCGCTGGATCTTACCTACTCACACCTAAAAATAAGCATTCAACACAGTGCCCAGCACGACTCGTGCCGGGCGTAAACTTTGAACAAATTATCTTTTTTTTTCGTCATACTTCAGAGATGTACACAAAAATACTTAGTAAAATACATATACAAGAATATAAAATATATGATATACCGTGATCTAGATAGTTTGTTCTGAGCTGGTCCTCCGATTGGTGGAGTTAAAATTGACGATTTCGACAACCAATTCCACTCGTCCGCCTATTGTCAGCACGCTAAAGTTTTGTCTAAAACACTTAAAAGCCAGGAGCGATCAGAAGTGAGAGTACAGAGGTGTGTGTGTGAAATTGGCGGCGTCGAAGATCGTAGCGTATCGCTCGACAACCAACCTGCGGGCTCGCGCATCACGGCCGACGTCAGGCTCACCAGCACCGACACCGCCCCGTCCGACACGCACACGGCGCCCTCCGCCGCCTGCAGCTCCACCTTGTAGCGCGGCTCCTCCGCCCCGCCCTGCAACGCACCACTACTCAACAACTCTACTTCTACACGACAACTTTTTAAGCGAACGATGAGGTCCACATTTCCTAATGTCACATTAAATTATAGTGTCAAATAAATTAATGTTTTTAAAAGCATATACTATATGTTCATAAATATATTGGGAGGCTACTGTCGTTACTTGTTAACAATATATAATAATGTCGCTGCAGTACCTTGACCTTGTTGAGATGCGCGGGCAGGTCGGTGGCGACCCGCTTGAGCAGCGTGACGGTGGGGCGGTCGTGGCACAGCACGACGAGGCGCACGCGCCGGTCGCCGCGCAGCAGCAGCCCCTTGGCCAGCAGCCCCACGCGCATGGCGCCCTTCAGCGCGCGCGCGCCCGCGCCGCCCGCGCCGCCCTCGCCCTCGCACGCGAACGAGAACCTGCGCCGCGCACGGGGACATCACTCTCCTCGTCGCATGACACACCAAGCGAAGATAGACGACAATACGACAGCAATCAACGATATTATACAACATTTTTACTCACAACTGATTGTCCCGACCGTCCTCTTTCCCTTCTGGTTTCTCAATTTTTTGATCTTCAGGTTTAGTAGCTTTACCAGCAACCTAATAACAATATTAATAATTAAAAATATATCGGTTTCGTTTCTATGTGTTTCTTTTTGCAGGAAGTATAAAATGTAGACAGAGAGTTACCTTGGGCTTGGCCTGTTCAGCGAGCGCGTCAGAGAGCGACTTGAGCGCCTTCTCGGTGTGCGAGACGGCGCGCTGTATGTCCTGCAGCTGCGCGTCGGGCGGGTAGATGTCGGCGTGCTTGCCCAGCACGTGGCGGTCGTCCGACGTCTCGGGCCGCCGCCCCACGCCGCCGTACGGCATGCCCATGCCCTGCACACACACATGTACACTACTGTCCTCCCTTCACCACACACTCGTCCGTGTTACTGAACACTTACATGATGGTGATGATGCATGGGCGGCGGTACTGGTCCACGTCCCCACCATGGCTCCATGCCGCCCTCCCAGTACATACGGTCTTCCTCCTCCATGCCCTGTCAAACAAAAATCAATCATATAGAAGCATACAAAAAAAAACATTTATGAAAAGTTGATATTACATAATACCACACCCACTTCTGCCTACCATTCGACATTAAATATACGGTATTTAATGTCAGATAAGACATTATGAGTAAACGAAGGTGTAAATATCAAGTAGTAAGTTCAGTGTACATACATCGTGCATGCGTCGCCGGGCCCACATCTCGTCGCGCACCATCATGCGTTGTGCCTTGGCCTCCGCCAACTTGCGCTGGTGCATCGACGGCTTCACCTTCACCTCCAGGTCCGGTTGTACCTGCATAATAATTAATACATTACTGTAAATCCCTTCATAAGAAACTTTATATGTACTTCAAAATAGGTGGTAAGTTCTCATTCACAGTTTTAATCATACGACGCGCGGATCTCTTGGCAATCGCAACGATCGGCCAGGCTCACGCGCATCTCAAACCTTTTACTAAGTAATCACTGAACCTGACAATATTAGCACGTATCTTACGTTTAATATGATATTGAGTGCGTTTACCTTTTTCTTATACTGCAGTCTGTGACGGCGGCCCTTCATATGCATTTCCTTGGCGTTGGGATCGTTGAACTTGCAGTCGCAGAGCTTGCAGTTGAAGCTGAGTGCCTTGCCGTCGTCTCCCGTATCTCCTCGATGTAGTCCTGTCCGACGGGTTGCACTTCTGGCTCAGCGTCTGCGTCGTCGTCCTTGTCGTCTCCGTCCTTGTCTTTGTCTCCTTGGGCAGGTATTGTTTCTTTGGTTGAAGTGCCCGCGACAGTACTGAGCCCGCCGGACGCTACGAATGCTATCTTCGGCGTCCCGGCCACCGTCTTTTTGGCTGATAGATTGGAACAGTCAAATTTTCTCTTGTTACTTGCTAGCCAAGTGCATTGTTTTGCAAGGACATTTTTGGGCCTTTTCTACATATATTGTAATTTTTCAAAGTATATTTTGTTACTATTGTTTCAATCAATATTATTGAGGATTTGAAAATTAAAAAAGGCCCATATTTCACACTCCACATATCTGTACTGGGTGCCGAAATCGTTAACGTTGAGAAAATTTGACTATTGCAATACTATCTGCCAACTAGACGCGCGCTTTTATACAGATATGGCGTTGTGGCGATGCGGGTCAGCATGTATGCGGGCATCAACAAATATGTTCTCCATACATTGTACTTGGAGATCATATCTGATATGCACATAACATTCAAACAAGTTTCTACAGCAGCTGAGACTAATACCACAGAGTGACAGTTGACACCATTACATAAAAAATCATATACAGCCAGGCAGCATTCCATCTACTTGTATACAACATACATATTTATTACAAACATCAATTTATATATGAAATTAAGAGAAATTAATAATACTATTTAATTGAATTGCATTAAATAAGTCATTGCTTGAATTTATTTCAATTTTTTGGTTTGAAAAACAGTCTATTTTATGAATAGTTAACGTAAAAATTAAAAAAAATATATATTTTTACAGCAAGTTTGTATATGACATGCATTTCAGGGAACAGTATGTAGGAGTAGGGAGTAGTTACCTTGCGAGAGCTTGGTGGGTTCAGTGGAGGGGATGGGCTTGCCGAGCATGGTGTGCAGCTTGACGACCTTCTGGTGCTTGATGCCGCGCACGTGCGCCGCGTACGCGTCCGCGCCCGTGCACGTGACGTCACACAGCTCGCAGCGCAGCGCGCCGCCCGCCGCGCGCCCCGCCGCGCACGCCGCGCCCGCCGCCGCCAGCTTCACGGCCGCCTCCTTCTTCTTGTGCTTCTGGCCCTCCAGGTGCTCCTTGTACGTCTGCGCACCAAGTACCGTCACTTACACCTCATACGAACGAGGTTGCGTAGAGAGGTTTGTTACTAATGAGAGACTAAAGGTGCCCAACCATCTCGAGATACAACCTCCATACATATAATGGAAGCGTCAGGTCAGCGGGACCATAACAAGATGGTGGAATTATCCTTTCGCCCCTGAAACTGAGTGAGACTAACCTGTGGTCCAGCGCAGGAGATGCGGCAGACATCGCAGTAGTGCAATTGTTGTGCCTTGGGTGGAGGTTTAGGACGCCTAGTCTGACCTGCGCCGACGCCAGTCTTATTGTAGTTCTTCCACCCACTGCTTAGAAAAAAAAACTTGTATAAGTACTATAAATCACTAACAAACAAAAACCAGCCATTGTTAATCAATAATATTTGTCACTTTTTAAGGCTCATTTAATAGTTAAAAAATTGTTATTTGTATTTGCAATATAATACTGATAAGTGACAAATAATAAAGGTTCCAGTTATAAGAGTCTACTCACGTTCCTCCCCCAGTCTTGTTTTGTTGTGCCACATACATGGTGGCTGCGTTGTAGAGAGCTGTGTCATATGCTGTATTGCCTCTGTTGGTTGGCTCTGCGTAACGTCACAAATGTATGAGATGTTGAACAAAATAAAATTTTATTTTCATTATAAGTAGAACAAAATTAACATCACATTTGGAACTACACCCATTACAAACAAACTTTTTGTTGGAAAGAGAAAGGAAGGTTCAAGTTATTATCAGAAAATAAGTAAAAATCTTGAGTATAAATACTAAACTAGCATTTTTATCTAGAAAAAATATTACGTAGTATGTCATAAAGTAAGCAACAGTATGAAAGTGCAATAGGGGTGCAGAAAATTAGTCTAGTATAAAATAGTGATTTATCAGTTTCAAAATAGAAGTAAATAATAATATTTCAAACATATACTGTTGCTTACTTACAACACATCAATATTTGCAATGCCTTCTAGCATGAAAATTATCTATTTGCCTACAAGCCAATTAATTATTTAATTAACACAAACTATGTTAATAGATCAACAAATTAAATATTTTATCAAACAAAGTTGTTATGAAATAACCTTATACCTGTTTACAAACAAGAAAGTTAATGAAGTCATAAGTAATAACCAAATCACATTAAATAAAGTTTAAAAGTAAAATCTTATTGCAACAAATTTTTAACTGGCTTTAGGACAAATAGACGAAGACAAGCTAATGCTAAATTCACTAGAAAACAATGAACTTGAGTTAAAATATTTTATACTATGATATTTCTGGCAGTGCACTAGATATTACAGTGAATGATGATGAAAATAGCTTCATAGTTTGTCTTTTTCTTACTTTAAGGCAGAGTTCAGTGATATTCAAATGGAATGGAGAAGCAAACATGCTCCAAAAACTTCTAGAATTGAAATAAAAATAGCTAGGGACTAGGGTAGACAATATTGTAACTTGTATGCATTTACATTCCATTTGCGCACTGTTCCATGGTTAAGATAAATAAGTACAATACACAACAGCGAGAGATTGCGGTTTGCATGTAAAGAGAAGGCGGAGTGTGAGTCCCCTTTTCCTATACATCTGGTAATGATCTGTGTTATGTAACAGGAGTGCAATAAACCGCAGTCCCTCGGTGTCGAGTAGTACAAAGAGTACGGTACCTATGTTGACGTGTATATACTGACGTTTGGCGGGCTGCGCGGGCGTGGCGGTGTAGGCCTGCGTGGGGTAGGACGTGGCGGCGGTGGTGGCGGTGTAGACGCCGCCGTAGGCCGCCTTGGCGCCGCCGCCGCCCGCGCGCGCCCCGCCCTGCGCGTACATGGAAGTACACTTCGACACACATTACACCATCCGAACACACGTGCCACTCAGCATTCACGTAGGTTTTACCATGAGAACTCTTCACAACATGATACCAGTTACTTACATAGTAGATGTATTGTTTTTAAGAGCTTATTCCGAAATTAAAGCTAAACTAACTCATATTGTGCCACATAATAAAAGATACATCAAATTATCCATTTTACAAGGGAGCATAGAAAAGTAAGAAATTTGGAATCAGATTCCAAAATAGCTTGATTTCATCAAGCTACTTATATTATAAATTCATTAGTATTAATTTAATTACAAAATATAAGTCTTTGACTAATATTTATAAGGTGTAAAAAAAAAAAGTACTCTTTTAACTCAAAGAAAACCATTACATAAATTATCTAGAATTCTAGCATATTCCGAAATATTAAGAGATACACTTTTGAGAGAAACATATATTATCTTAGATATTTTTTTAGGTTTCATAGAAACTGGCAAGTGTCCAATATAAATAAAACTTTGAAGGTTGGGTTAATGCTCTGAATAAATTGTTTGAAATGTTCGTATAAATAAATAAAAAACCATTTTACTAAGAAAATTGCTGAATGATAGTAAATAAAGTAGAAGCTGGTATTTGCAATAAAAAATGTTTGCTGAGAATTGGCACTTCATAATAATTACAATACCGCAGAAAAAAATTTAGTCAAGGATTCGATAGAAATCTATCAAAATTATAAAGGAAAACCGATTGAGACAGCATTCGTAATGCTCTCATAAATGCTAATACAGTGAAACCTGGTTAAGTGAAACATCAAGGGACCTGCAATGTCGTTTCACTTATAGAGGTATTCCTCTTACGCAGTGTCTCAGATATACAGGTATAAATAAATATCTGTCTCATTTACAGAGGGTTCCGTTAATAGAGGTGGACTTGGAATTACGTGTGGAATTTGTGGGTAGAATAAAAATGAGTAAACAAACAATGTTATCTCAGTTACAGAGGTTTATGCATATAAAATGTATTCGTTGTCTCAGTTATAGAGGTAACTATGATGATAAATCGAAAGAACAAATCCCAGATATAGAGGTTTACCTCGTCCCACTAAAAGAGGTAATTCAGTGACAGTGTTGGAACCCCAGCATGAGTTCCAGTTATGGAGGTTTCTCACTTATCCAGGTCCCACTTAACCAAGTTTCACTGTAATAATAAACAAGTTATTTTGTCACTGTTTTATGACTTACCTGGGCGTAAGTAGCTGGAGTGGAATATGCTGGTTTGGCGGCAGTGGCGTCGTAAGTGGGCTGCGGTTGAGGCGGTGCGGCGGCAGGGTAGGCCGCCGCAGCTTGCTGGTAGTAGGCCGACTTGCTGGCGTCGTAGGCCGACGCCGCCGCAGCCGCCGCGTGCGCGTGCGCGTGAGCCGCTGCTGGTAAAAGCACACCTGTTATAGCAGTACTGGCATCATGAAGTGAAATTACATATCACATCCAATACTACAGTTTTTTTAACTCGACTAAGGTCAAATATTACTAATTAAAGAATCTAGTTCTAGGTTTCAAGACTTTCTAGTACCTAAAATACAACACATACATACATAACATCACGTCTTTTATCCCCAAACGGGTAGGCAGAGATGCACATTATGCCACTGTACAATGTAACACCCACTTTTCACCATTTATGTTATGAGTAGGGGTGAGCCTATTGTCATATACCAGGCACAATTCAAGACTTCGTGCTACTACTGAGAATTTAAAATACTAATCTTATATAAAACTAGCGACCCGCCCCGGCTTCGCACGGGTGCAATGTGCATGTAATATAGGTACATATAAACATTCCTTAAGAATCAGTCTATCTATTTAAAAAAAAACCGCATTAAAATGCGTTGCATAGTTTTAAAGATCTAAGCATACATAGTGACAGATAGATGGTGTATAGCAACTTTGTTTTATACCATGTAGTGATGTTACAAGTGTCTCCAAAGAGCCTGTGACCTCTCGTGTTTATTTTTGTTTTGTATGTTGAAATTGATGTGAAAAAATATTGTGTTGCTCATTTTGCAGAATATAATTTATGTTTTTTCTTACTTTTTATTATAATTTCTTTTATTAAGTATTAACCCGTTGAAATCCATCCCCTAAATTTGGTCATACAAAAGTAGTCTCTAAACATTGGAAATAAGGTCTATAATGTAATGTAATATTAGGGGAGAGCGTTCACCGGTGACCGCTTGGGGTTTTATGGGTGTAAGTATTTTTATTTATTTGTTTGACATGACAGTCGGACATTATCAACAGTTTCATTTTGACAATCCTGTTCAATTTTATGAAGACTTTATTCTGGTCAACTTCAACTCCGTTCAGGTTATTCAGTCAGAAAGATGAACAACTTTGAGCTTTCATTTGAAATGTAGTCATGCAAATAAATGCCTTGTAGAAGGAAGGGATTTTGTTAATTATTCAAACAATAACAGGCATTAACTAAATGAGTGATAAAAGTTACAGGTTCACATTAATTTAAATCATATTCATTTGAAAAAGAGCACAGAGCACTGTAATTTAATACACGTAATGTAGCTCATGGAATGAGATAAGATGATACTTTTTATTCCTATTGAGCTGAGTCAGCCAACCAAAGAGAGGTACAGTTATATGGCTAACCAGTGAATCACAAGCACAGGTCACTGACAGGAAGCAGTTTGTTAACTATACTTCTGGCCACTTTTTATCACCTTCAATACAGTGCTAACTAGCCATTTTAGATATTACAATAACTCAATTAGGCAAATCATGTCGTAGAGTTATCGATTTTACGGATAGTCGTTATGGAGACATCGAAAGCGAATTTTCTTTACAAGTGTAAACAATCGTGTTTGACAACGTTTTCAAACAAATTCTCAGCTTTTACGTACCTTGCGTGGCCGCTGCCGCCTGGTATGCAGTGTCGTATCCTGTGGCCGCGGCGCGCTGGGTGCCGTAAGTAGCGGCGGTCGCAGCTGGAGCTACGGCATATCCAGTCTGCCCGCCGTAGGCCGCACTAGCCGTTGCCGCTCTAAAATAATACCACGCTCACTTTACACTTAAAAATCACATTTCACTCTGAAAATCCCACGATCAATACAATTTGGACGCCATTTTGATTAAGACAAACATGAGCACAAGGCACATCTATCACAAATCTCTCATAGTACATTCATAGGGTTTACTTCATTTTTTCTAACTAAAACATAATTGAACTTACCCGTATTGGGTTCCTCCATGAGTAAACCCAAAATAATTATTTGCTGCCATCATTTACCAATTATCCGCGTCGAAACAACAGACGCTTCAGAGTGGAAAAGACCGGCGTTTTGTTTGTCTTTGACAAATATGGCCGCGACCGCGATCAAATTAACCTGTCAGTGTTGCTACGCAGAAAATAAAATTGCCTTCCATCATTATATTTTTATCATTCAGTCATTATGAAACCAAAATAGATGACTTTATTTATTGATCATTTTACATCTACTTGTAGGCCTAAAAGAAAACTTTAATATGAAAGGTATTTTTGTGCGTATCATTCGTTGTTTTACATGGTTTTTATTTGTGGAATATTTTCAATTTACCAAAAATTATGGATGATTATTGATTGGTCACCTCATCATCGGAAAATCTAAGTAGCGTTCAGTGTAAATTAAATTTTAACGATGCGTTCAAACTAAATAAAAATTACACAAAATGAGTATACAGATGTCTATGAAAAATCAGTTACATTTCATATTTTATAAAAAACTAGCGACCCGCCCCAGCTTCGCACGGGTGCAATACGCATGTATTATACATAAATAATATTAATAATACATAAACCACTCTATCTATTAAAAAAAACGCATCAAAATCCGTTCCGTAGTTTTAAAGATCTAAGCATGTATAGGGGCAGACTAGAGATGGGCAGAGGGTTTAAACCCAATGGACGGAAACGGGTTTATACCGGGTTTTTGGGTTTGAAGCGGGTTTAAACCCGAGTAAAAACCCAAACAGTGGGTCTAAATTACTTTCACTAATATCTTGGACAGTGGTTATAACACAATTTAGGTATGTATTTATAACACCTATGTTAACAAATAAATAAATGATAATATTTATGATTAGGTACTTCTAGTGTTTTTTGGAGTATAAATATCACTAATAGTGGTACAATCAACAGTAGGTACATGAAGTTTCACAACTTACTCTTCGAACATGAGATTTTAACAGTTATATTATAATTTATGCAAGTATTTCACCACAGCTTAATAGCATGACCTTGCAGATTTCAAATAGGTAATAGCCACAGTACTTACTTTTAAATAAAACAAATGGGTAAGTGATTGTATTTTTTATAAAATTAAACAAATAACACAATCAATATTTACAATCATTTAGAGTCAGTGTCATACCCAGAATTATCATTATCAGGTGATCAATTTACAATCATTCAGAGTCAATGTCAGTCCCAGAATTATCACTATCAGATTGTCCACAATCAACGAATACCAACTCATTTGATGTCGTTGCTTCCGATTGAGATGGGGCGAATACTTCGTCCTCAATAGCATTTGTATCGGTTTGCGGTGAACTTTCATGTGGTGTTGGAGTTTCTTCACTAATCTGATCATCATTTAAACTTTCATTTACCGTCTTTCTGTGTAAAATGTTCCAGTTGTATGATACAAAAGTTATTTTGGCGGCTCTTTCCGCAGTAAGACGATTCCGTTTTATGCTGTGGACGTTTGCTTGAGCGCTAAATGTGCGTTCCGTTGCTGCAGACGTACATGGTGCCGTAAGAATCCTCAAAGCCACTTTGCTCAGCTGTGTCGAGCTACATATACCTTTCCACCACACAACTGGTTCAATATCTCCCAGAGATCGCCAAACAAATTGTTTGCCCCAGAAACATTCTTTTGCTTTATAATTAGCGAGATCGGGTGTTACATCTAAATTCAGCCTTTGCCCTTCATTGTATATGAACTCCATGGCTAGAAGTTCTTGCTCTTGGTTGAGCTCTAAACCTTGCTCTCTAGGGTCAAGCATGTATGCTGCCATGTGTATAGGTTTTACACACATACTTGCCCTTAAATCCACTGATACTAAAATTTCAAACTTCTCCTCCTCACTCAACATTGTTATAGATGGAAGCACAAATTCTAATTTCGATTTAATATTTTTAAATATTATAAATACTTTGCTTATGCAGTGATCATTTCTAATTCAAATATACATTCTGTTATAGGTTCTATAACTTTGATAGATTCTTCCGTTTTGTTCCAAAACTCTTCCTCCAGCAGCATTCTTTTTAAATCTCGGGGGATATTCACGGTTTCATCTACTGCCAAGCTTTGCAGAGCAGCTTTATTCTTTTTCAAACTTTTTAAAGCTGTCACTGTACTTCCCCAGCGGGTTTTAACGGGTAGTTTCAATTTTTCTCCACAACCCTTGATTTTTATAATTTTTGAAAGTTGAGCGCTTAGAATTTGGCTTTTTTTAATTATTTTTATCACATTCACAGCCTCATCTATAAAGTTTTTCATGGTTTCTGATTTTGAACAGTCTTGACTTAATAAATTTAGTACATGAGCACAACAACCGAGTGGAGTAATATGTGGATATTTATTTTTAACTATTTCGAATGCTTTTTGCATATTTTTAGCATTATCCCCTATGAGGACTACAAACTTATTTACACCATACGTTTTCATCACATTTTCTATTTCACTTGCAATATATTGGCTGGTGTGGCGATTAGTTTCTGTATTCAAACTTTTTATGAATACTGGTTGAGGCTTTGATATGACAAAATTTATTATACCTTCAACACGTAAATTACTCCAACCGTCACATTGGAGGTGAAGATAACTTGCAGATTGTAACTCTTCGCTCAACTCTGTTCGCATCTCATTATAAATTTGATCCAAATATTTAGTAGCGAGTGCTTTTCGTGATGGCATCTTAAATTGCAGTTTCTTAAAAAAGTTAATCCAAAGAGGATGCTCTACCATAGATAAAGGAGTGGCTGTTACAAAAATTGCCTTAGAAAACTCTACAGCAAGGTCACTCTCTGTAATGCGTGTGCTGTGTCTTTCGTCTTCCTGTAAAATACTCGTACTTGTACTTGCTGTAGGTGTTGGCAAATCGGTAGTATTACTCGTACTACTACCTTCTTGTACTTCCTGAAAGTTATGCGACGTACCAGTCCTGCCTTTCTTTTCCAAATGCAGTGTTTTCATTTGTTTTTTTAAAACGGGTGGACTCTTGAAACAAGCAATGAGATGTTGAGTCATTTTGGCAATGTTGCTGTATCGGTATACTTTCGGGGTCGTGCGGTCCATGGCCCTCTACGGCGCCCCTGTTTGGGCGCCGAACTTGTTGCGGCGTCCTGCTCGGACGCTGCTCATGTCACAGAGGGTCATGGCGATCCGAATGATCCGCGGATACCGCACGATCTCTGGGGAGTCGGCGAACCTCCTTGCCGGATTACCGCCGTGGGATCTGGAGGCGAAGGTGCTCGCGCGCGTGTATAACATGCGCGCGGAGGCACGTCGCCGGGGCGAAACTCCGCTGCCGCGCCAAATAAGTGCGTGGCGGGATGAGCTCCGGCGCGATCTCATGGCGGAATGGCAGCAACGACTGTCGCAACCGGGGGCTGGGCTCGCTGCCATTGCAGCGGTAAGTCCCCTCTTTGAGGAGTGGCTTGAGAGACGCTACGGCGTCCTCACCTACCGCCTGACGCAGGTCCTCACCGGACATGGAAGTTTCGGGAGGTACCTGTGTCTGATGGGGCGGGAGGAAACGCCCGGGTGTCATCACTGCGAGGACCGCCCTGAGGACACGGTGGAACACACAGTGGGAGAATGCCCTGCGTGGGCTGAGCACCGCCGTGCCCTCAGGGAAGTGATCGGCGATGGCGACCTCTCGCGTCCGGGCTAGTGCAGGCCATGATGCGGAGCGAGGGGGATTGGGATGCCGTCTCCTCCTTTTGCGAAGCAGTCATGCTAGCTAAGGAGGAGGCGGGACGCGTGAGGCAGCGAAGCGCTGCCTCCTCGCAACCCAGCCATCGCGAAGGACACACGGGCGTCGGGGATCGCGAGACGATCTCCGGCCACCGTAAGCGCGGGCCTGCGGACGGCGAGCATGGGTGGCTCCCCGTCCGACCAGAAACAGACCGAGCGTACGGCGCGTCGCGTTCCGCGCGCGCCTCAAAGAGCCATCAGACCACCACAGATGGGGCCCAATAGGGCCGATGCCGATTCGGAGTCGCGGAGAACCTAACGGGTAACCGGGGCTCCGGCTCGACGTGCAGGAGAAGGAACGGGGTGGTTTTTAGTCAGTAAGAGTCTGACACTCCCTTCCGCCTCACCCAGGCGGGAGCAGTCATTCGATGATTTTCCCCCCTTAAAAAAAAAAAAAAAAAAAAAATCGGTATACTTTATCACAGAACTTACATTTAACCGATTTATTACCTAACTCGTGATAATGTCGCCATACACGCTGGTCTTTCGGCCGACCCATTTGAACTAAAACAAACATAAGTAGGTAATTAAATAATAGTTAGTTTCGAGTTTACGACATTATTAGTTCTAAGCAATATTTTCTTACGCAAATACTTCAGTACACTTACCTTGTATCGTCTAAACACTAGTGAAAATATATATAAGAACTGCTTACTTGCAGTAATTAAATATTTTGAATTACGATCTCACGGATTACAAACACTTCTATTCCACAATTCACTTCATTTCACAAGCAAGGGAAGACTTCGACTGAGCTGGAATCGACCGAGAACAAAGGCGTTGCTGGAGTGCGGTGCGCGGGCGGCGCGGCCTTTATCGCTTGATAGAAAGAGAGCATACACGAGCGACATAAGTGCGACAAAGAGCGGCATATTTCTTTCTCTAACTCGTCGTCTACCTGCCGCGCCATTTGTTTAATTTGAAGAAAATTTATCAAAAAAGATGATTTAAAAACGACAACTATGGTAAATACTACTAAAATATTCACAATAATTTACGTTTACCACGTTTAAATTGATAAATTTCACCAAACCAATAAACTCCCGAATAAAAACCCCGTGGGAGGGAATAAATGGGTTTTTATTGGGTTTAAACCCAGTAAACGGGTTAAAACCCGGTTGATTGCCCATCTCTAGGGCAGACAGTGGATAGCGACTTTGTTTTATAATATGTAGTGATAGTGAATTGCTTAGGTACTTATTGTTCTTAGAGATGAGCGATGAGGATAAATACTCAAATGTATTCACATTTTTGGATGAATACTCGAGTAAAAACGGATAATTATTGCTCTTCAGAATAATAAATGTCAACATATAGTGTCTTCGTAACGTAACGCTGTAAATTTTTTTACGTTTTTTAATAAGAACGGGTTTTTTCATAAAAGGAAAACGTCATGGATTTATGAACTCATGAACTCACATTACATACGTATATACCTATGCTTGATCTATACATAAAAAATACATAGGTAATCTGCTACCTACTTAGACCAATAATCGAATAACTTACAATTTGATTTCCATATAAGCTAGCCTGTAAACAAATTTTTAATGCAAATGCCATACTTAGTTGTTATGTTTATTTATCCCACCGATACGGAGTCGCGGAAGACTTAACGGATAGCCGGGACTCTGCCTTGCCGCGTAGTGCGGGAGTAGGATTTTTTTTTTAAGGGGGGATAATCATCGAATGACTTCTCCCGCCTAGGTGAGGCGGGAGGGAGTGTTAGACTCTTACTGACTAAAAACCACCCCGTTCCTTCTCCTGCACGAGGAGCCGGAGCCCCGGTTACCCGTTAGGTTCTCCGCGACTCCGAAGCGGCATCAGCCCTGTTGGGCCCCATCCGTGGTGGTCTGATGGCTCTTTGAGGAGCGTGTGGAACGCGACGCGTCGTGCGCTCGGGGTCTGTTTCTGATCGGACGGGGAGCCACCCATGCTCGCCGTCCGCAGGCCCGCGCTTACGGTGGCCGGAAATCGTCTCGCAAGTGCAGGAGTTGGATTGAGATGGTTTTTAGTCAGTAAGAGTCTAACACTCCCTCCCGCCTCACCTAGGCGGGAGAAGTCATTCGATGATTATCCCCCTTATAAAAGCATTTTTTTCTTTTCATAAGGGAAACAAAACGCCTACTTTCTTACTGAAGTTAGTTGTAGCTCAAGCAAGAGTATATTTGGTTGAATGTGTTTGTTTAGGTATTCCAGAGGGAGGTATTCTAACAAGTTTTAAGTCATCAAATACTGTGCAGAACATACTATCATTGTAACTGTTATTTTTTTAAATATTATCTTTACCAAGTTCAAAAGAAGCACAACTTATTTATGATATGGTTGGTGCAGCACTATCCCCCTCACTTACACAGGAATAAGTAAGATAAGTTAGTAAATAAGTACATATATAAGTATAATTATAATTAAATGTAGTTAGATTAGGGTATAATTTACAAATAGCAAAATTAAAAAAACAAAGATCTGCATGTACTTAAACAATCACATTTATTTACTGTTTATGTTACATAATGGTAAATGTTAGTTGTAGTAGATACACAAATTGTTTTCTAATTAATATATAAAATATAGATCACAAATACTATAAATACTTAGTACATAAAACTATTACAACGAGTAACACAGAAAATGCAAATGTGTTCTGGTTCTGTAACATTATGGTTCCACTTATACAAAAGAGGGTTAATATATTTAGCAAAGGCTAATTCAGGATGAGGATGTCTTGCAGTCTTCTCTGTCTTATTGCCTTTTGCTGATGTAGTTTTTCTTGAGAGTTTAAAATTAATGTATTTCCTTCTTTTATCCCAATAATAACTTAAACATTATTGTGAGTATATTCAATATGATTAATGGAACTGAAAAAAAAAAATAAAGATAAATATACAGTAGTTAAACATTAATTCAAACAATAATAACGAAAGTAAAACTTACTCCTTGTGACTGTTCTGATAGATCTAACCAAGTTTAAAATTTGGAACTTCACTGTTGATTGATCTTCAAATCCTTGGTTTGGGTTGTTGGATCCCCATCCCACTAGGAAACGAAAGTAATAACATTTAATACATTATTTATTTCTTATTTAAAAAGCAAACATTCATTGCGACATTAGGTTAGACTGTTTAGTTAGGTGTACTAAACAAACTAAATACCCTACTCACTTTTTTGCATAAATCTTTCTTCGTGTAAAACACAAACTGCATTCAAACAAAGCAAGGATGCTTCAAACAAATTCCATAAAGTAAGCATAGTAAAAAATTGTGTTCTGATAAAATTATTAAGAAAACCGTCGGTATTTGTTGTGACGGATCTAGTACACATTCATACAATATGATTTGACAATCGTTTGACATTGACATTAAAATGACGAGTAAGCATTTTTGACATCAGCATCCACATTCCGTTTCACGGTACGTTGAACTGTTTCAGAAATTAAATTTACGAGCTTATTGATATTCTTATTTGGAGATACATCAAAATGCTTACTATAATAATATATATTATGAGCAATCAGTAAAAGATTTCACTTATATTATTGAAAATAAATAAAAAATCTAAAGGCATTAAAAATCTCTGGCAAAATAAAACAAACATGAATGCCTCTTGACATCTGTCGAATCCAACGACTGTCATGTGTTTGTCTTTGCTGTGTTATCATTCTTACGATTGTGTTGTGATATTATTACCGTTCGTTATCAGTGTTTAGCTGTGTTCAGTTCTGGTCACAGTTTTGGAACAGCTGCTGTTGATCATACTTCTTTTCTGTGTCCGTTGCGGACATAACATTTATCTAAATAAAGTACACTGACTCACACTTTTGACAGAGTTAGATTCAAAGATATTTGTTTTATACTTATAATAGTTTTGGTTGAGTTTGATTATTGGTGAAATCCACCATTAGTTTCTTGCTTATTTCTTCAGGTTTGAGTTTACACATTTTTATTACCCGTATAAATTCAAACTAATGGATTGTAAATAAGTTTACTATGTCCTGAAGACTTCTTAAACTGCGAGCAGTCAATGAGGCATGGGATTTTATCAATTAAAATGTTTGCTGATAAGTCTTTCTGAACAACATTTTTCCACATAGAATACTAACTATACAGATACATTAGCAGATGTAAGTGTTGGATTTTTGTATGGCATAGTGATCACTTTATTAAAAAAAAAACTATTTTGCAGGTAGAGTCTAAAATAAAAAAATGTCTGCAACAGACAATGATGACGAACCGAATTTTATGGTTATAAAATATAGTGAGAAAATGGATGTGGATGCCAAAAATATCATACTAGAAGAAATTGAACTAGAATCTTCTAGTGAAAATGGTATATGTAATTTGGTTATTTTAATTGTTATTTGTAATGACTAAGGTTTTGGTATTACAGATTATGTTTTTCATTTTTAAATACCTAGTATCAATAATAGTAGCATGAGAAGATTGATGAATGTAGTGCATAATTTATTTTTTGTTTATTACTTACTATTTCATTTCCAGGAGAGGAGACCAAAGAGATTATTATTGAATTGGTAGAAATAGAACCAGAACAAATAATAGTTAAAAATCCTGGTCAGATCGAAATTTGCAAGGATACTCCAGATGCACCCATTGCAGAGCCTAATGACAGAAGTATGGATGAGATAGAGGATGGAAAAGTAAAGCAAACAAAAGTTCCAAAAGTAGATGCAGTCCCAGGATGCTCAACTATTCCTGAAATATCTTTAATACCTCAAAAAACAAGTGTTCAACTGTTTGCAGAAGACACTGGTCCTCAACTATATGATGCTAAATGTCCATTAGTCACATTACCTATAATAACTAGGAACCTGCCCAAAGTATTTGAATACCTGCCCATACATGGTAAGCCACAAGATAAAAATATGAAGGAATTCTTTTCAAATAAAATTAAAGAATTTGTCGGAAGTGGCCTCACTGATGATGAGTTTCAAGAGTTAGAAGATTATTGCAGGTAAGTCTATTTATATGGAATATGTTTTTGTATAGATTGTATGGATGATCACCTGAGATGATGGTAAGTGATCATTTGCCTTATTTACACTCGTAACACCGAAGATGTTGGCGGCCTCTAAGTCAGTACTAAATTAGGTAAATGCAGCATTAATTTAACACAGGGTTATTTTACATGACATGTACAATAAAATATTTATATTCTTACGGAGTCTGCTGAATGTAGTGCTATAACCATGCAGAAGCGAAAATATAAACAATTTATAGGATGGAATAAACATGTAAAGACCACTCATTGTGTGGCTCGGCTTGCGTTTTTTATGTGGAATTTATATGGTAGGCCAACTACGGAAATATCTATGGTAAAATGCGCAAAACTCGTAGATGTTTTAACCCATATACATATCCCCAAGCGGTCACCAGTGACCCCTCTCCACTAACTACATTATAGACCTTATTTCCAATGTTTAGAGACTACTTTTGTATGAACAAATTTAGGTGATGATTTTCAACGGGTTAACTCCTTGGAGAATAATGTAAAGTTTTCCTCAAGGAAGGTTGCCAATGTAATAAAAACATGGTTAAAGGTAAATCTCCAGGACATGATCACCTAAGTGTTGAGCACCTGCGACATGCTGGAGTACACCTCCCCAGGGTATTATTCATGTTTTTTACCCTCTGTATGAGGCACTCGTACCTGCCGAGTGATCTTTTAAAAACGATTGTTGTACCAATCATAAAAAAATGGGACTGGTGATACTGCGGACCCTTCTAATTACAGGCCAATTTCGCTGGCTACAATTACAGCTAAGGTGTTGGACTGTCTGCTTACACACATGGCGAATAACATCAAAATTTATGAGGCGCAATTCGGGTTTAGGCCCGGCCTGTCGATAGAAACCGCGATTCTTTGTCTCAAGCAGACGGTCCAATATTATACAGCTAGGAAGACACCAGTTAATGCGTGCTTCCTCGATTTGTCCAAGGCATTCGACCTGGTACAATATGACACACTTTGGGAAAAGGAAGAAGGAAAGCAGTTTTGACAGGTCAGTAATTTCTTTGCTTATGTATTGGTACAACAATCAGACAAACAGTGTTAAATGGGCGCGAGCACTATCAAATGTGTATAGGCTAGAGTGTGGAGTGAGGCAGGGGGGCATAACCTCACCACGCCTATTTAATTTGTACAACAGCTCAGTAGCACTCATCTGGGATGTCATATTGACGGTACTTGTGTCAATAATATAAGCTACGCAGATAATATGGTGTTGTTGTGCCCATCAATCAGCGGTCTCAGGTGGCTCCTAAGATAGTGTGAAGATTATTCGGCGGATCATGGGCTCAGGTACAATGCTAAAAAGAGTGAGCCACTTGTCTTTAAGGCGGGCACCAAATGTTACTCGAATGTGCTACAAGTTACTATTTGTTATTTACCATTGACTAGAGTGTCTCATTACAAGTACCTACTGGGTCACTGAGTCACCGAGGATCTCAATGACAACATGGACATTGAACGGGAGTGCAGGGCGCTGGCTGTCCTATGTATTATGCTGATCCGCAGATTTGCGCGGTGTACAGGGGACGTTAAAAGTACTCTCATTAGAGCCTTTTGCCAGTCTTTTTACACATGAGCTCTGTGGGTCAGATATACGAAGGGGGCATACAGTGCCCTGCGTGTTCAATACAATAATGCGTTCAAAATGTTGAGTGGACTCCCACGTTTTTGTAGTGCATCAGGCATGTTTGCGGGCGCCAAAGTTGATAGGTTCCATACAATCATATGAAAACGTTGCGGTTCCCTCCTCCGCAGAATGCGTGGTAGTTCACACAGCATCTTGAGCGTATTGTGTGATAAACGGGACAGTCCAATGTGTTTATGTAATGGATTAAACTGCGCGTGACTATAAAGTAGAATTAGTTTTACTTATTTATATTATATTAGATTACTAAAAATAGGTTTTTTTATATTTATTTGTATAACATAGGTATAGCATAGGTTAAAATCATCATACCTACTAACATTTTATGGACCCCTAGTCTGAAATAAATGATTAATATTAATAATAATAAAAAAATAATACTCTTGTTTCTTTTAAGTTGTAAGTTATTCCATTTAAAATGTCCCATTTTTCAGCCCGAATCATTTAAAAACAGGACGAGAGATAGTGATGGGCACAAATGTACCAGTAATGGGAGTCCCGCTCACAAGCGGGAATATAATACACAATCTGGATGAACCTCCAGAAGTAAATGAGGACCCCGATCTTTGTATACTGAAGAAGAATAAAGTACGTATAGAGAAGGATACCAAGGGATTGTTCACGAAGAAACTCAAGTACAGAGGTGTTCGGAACCTGCCCTTTACTCAGGAGGTAAGGCTATTGCAATAGTTACTCAAGTTTTGTGTTTATTGAGAGAGATAACTGCAAGTATCTCTTATGTGAAACAGTGGACTGTTACTAGCAGATAATGATGGTGAATACTTTAACATGTATGACTGTTTTACAGATGTATCACAATATGCCCGCCACTAAGCCTACAATAGAGGTACCCGATTTGGATCTTGAGCCCGGCAAAGATGTTCTGTACCGAGTCAGAGTCTACAGGCCTTATACTTATAGCATGGCTAAAGAAAGATTTGTATGTATCATAAGTAATTTTATATTTAACAATACAAGACAGAGGTGCACACAAAGAAGAATTATTGTTTATTACAACTGACACAAAGCAGGCAGTCGTATATTATTCCTTGTATCGTCTCCCCAGACCCGCACCCGTCATTCAGTGTTCTGCTACGACATTATCCTGACGGGGCGACACAGACTGTCAGAGCTTCGCGACCGGTTCGTCTGTCACAACGACTTCGACATGAGAGTCGACGTCTCTAATAACCCTGACATGCTGCCCAGTGCTAAGGCTAAGGTATGTAATATAGTGTTCAAAAAGTCTAAATATCAAGGTGAATTGTTTGTGGTATAAATGAAAAAAAAATAATTAAAAAACTGTTGAACATTTCTCCAAACAGTATAACATCAAACATGATATGATACTATAAATAGTTATAGGGGGACAAGCCCGCAGATGGATCACCTGATAGTAAGCAATCATTCAGAGCCGCCCACATAAGGCGTTACAAAGGCATTTCAGATCTTCTGGGGAAGTGAGAATTGAGCCTCCATCACAAAGTTACCAAGGAGATAATCTGATTCTTCAACTTAAATTCCAGGATCTTTTCCCATCTGGCTTCCTATTCATAAACAACGTGTTCTACGTGGACACGCGGGAAGGCTGCGTGGACTACAGTGAACCAATCAGAGACTGGGCCATCAAGAAGAAACTAGGGAACTTTCCTAAGAAAGATATGTGCAGTGTTAAGTTGGAAGATCTTGTGTTGAAGTTGGGATATCCGGAGGTAAGATTGTACTTTATAAATACTTACTTTGGTTTTTAAAATGAAGGAAATGCAATTTGAACCTTATTTCATTACTAGCTTTTACCCGCGGCTTCGCTCGCGTCACAAAAGAATAAAAAGTAGCCTATATGACATGTACCAATACACAAAGCGCCATCTATACCAATAATTTCGTTTTCCCTCGAGAATATCAAATTTATCCAGGATAAAAAGTACCCTATTATTTAATCCAGACTTCTAACTTTACATCTGCAAAAATTTAAAGCAATTAGTTAAGTAGTTACGGCGTGAAAACGGAACAAACATCCAAACTCACTTTCCGATTTATAATATTAGTAAGGATGTCAATAGCCTAAAATTGCTTAGATACACTCACCTATGGTCATTCTTAATAACTTAGCTGTGTGTAGGTTTAATTCTAATAGAATATAAACTTTATTTCAACATCCTATCATTCTAAAATTGCTTACACATTTTACTTTATCCTTTCCAGGTGTACGTCCACCAGGGGAACTGTGAACACGTATTTTTATTCTCAGAAGTACGGTTATTGAACCCAACAGACCCACTGCGTCTTCACAACTATCCCTGTTCCACTGCGATTGCGCAGAACCAAACTGTATATTGCACTACATGCGCAGAATTCTCAGCTAAATGGATCGTCGTGGGGTGTAGCAGAGTTCCCTTCGACCCTGCCTTCTTCTGCGAGACTTGTTTCAAGCAGTATCTGTATAAAGATGGCAAAAAAATTGGTGACTTCAAGGCTTATTCTTATAGAGGAAATGCGTTGAATGTCCTAAAGCCTTGAAGAGATATTTTATTATGTATGAGCATTGGTTGTGATGTAAATGAGGCCTACCGTTTTTTTGCTCACCAGGTGGCGCCACTGCCAGCAGATATTTTGTCAAAGGAAAACGAATGTCATATTTTCCGTTCCCCATCTCTTTGTATAATTGATAGCGGCAAATTCACGCGCGTTACGCCCCATTCACGTTGGTTACTGGCAATTGACATTGTTTTATAGTTACAAAGCTTATGAGGTATCACAGTTTCTCCACAGTGATCCTAAGAACTATCAGTATCCATACATCTAGTCTGCTGTAATTTAGTTTAAACTGTAATAAGTCATCGTTTGTTTCGTTTAAACAACTAAAAATATTTGGAAAATCCTGACATTATACACCGTGATATTTTAATGGTTGTTTTCCCGCAGCAGAACGATTTCCCTTTAGTAGTACTATCGAATAATGCAAGTTACTTTTTGAAAAAAAATTTTTTTTCTCCTCATCTACTCAAAAAAATAATCATCAACTCGAAAGCATGAGAAACGATAGTTTTTCTTCTAAAATGTGACGTCAAATCAATGTTCATAGTAAAATAATCTCTCGTACTTAGTAATACAGCATAAACTACAATGCACGCGCGCGCGAGCGGATCGCCTCACGAAGTCACGACAAACAACAAAGGCAACAACCGCGCTCTCTGTCACTCGCATCGGTTCGCACCGGCTCGCATGGCTTTCATTCGCACCAGTCGCACCGCGAACGCCGTCCGCGCAACCGCGTAAGCGCAGTACAATATTGTTGCCGCCAAAATGGATCGCCATTACGTTTTTTCTAACGTGGAGTACGTAGCTATGGTGCAATTGTACGCGAGGGCAAATTATGATTCGCATGCCGCCCGTCGACTTTACGAGGAGCCGCGGCACATGGAGTCACTTCGTCTTCGCGGCTTCATTTTGTGACAGGACACTTAACTGGTGAAACGTACCTACAAATGCTACGTAGTGTTATCCCGGACTTACTAGATGACATTCCGTTAGCAGTGCCCATGGATGGCCTGTATTACCAGCACGATGGTTGCCCTGCGCATTATCAGCGCGCCGTGCGAGAGCACCTCGACTCGGTGTTTCCCCAGCGCTGGATCGGTCGTGGCGGGCCAGTGCCATGGCCACCACGAAGTCCGGATCTTACTCCAATAGACTTTTATTTGTGGTTTAATCTCAAACGCCTTGTGTATCGGCAAGAATACGAAACTCGCGACGCGTTAAAAAGTGCGATAGTGGACGCTTTTGATGTGATTAGACGTGACAGAGACACATTATTAAAATTTGAAAGCCAATCAGTTAAAACGTGCACGATTGTGTGTGGAACGCGGTGGCTTACACTTTGAACAATTGCTCCGTTACCGGGAAGTGTAAGTACTTGTACATTTGTAAATAAAATAATAAGTTGTGTGATTAAAATCATTGTAAATACGTTGATTCCCATTTTTTAAATACGCCTTAAATACTTTGCCAAATTCAGTAATAAACAAGATAATATCTCTTGATTAAATTTTGTTTATGTTTGTGTTTAGTAAGTGTAGTTAAAAAGTATTTACGACGGTCCCAAGCCCGTTAAAGTATGAAGGGAAAATGGAAATCACTTGTTAGTAAATACTGAGTTATCAGCCTTTTGATAAGCGCGAGCGACAATGACAGCGGCCAGTGGCCGGTCGCGGCGGTACTATTGGTTCGCGGTTTCTTTCAAGTTTCGTGTATCACTATCGTAAAACTGCTATTTTTTTATTTAAATTAAAAACAACTTTCTCAATCTATTGTACTACTAAGATAGAATAATTTTACTGTGGGAAAACAACCATTAAAATATCACGCTATAAAGAAAGCACTGAACTCTAGATGGAATCAGGATCCACTCCGAAAACCGGGCGAAGCAGCAGGCGGAAAGCTAGTATATATTATTATATTGTTTAAGTATATAAACTTAAGGTAAAATTTTCCAAATAAGTGTAAATATTTTGTTGGAAATGAGACTGGTAGAAAATATTGTGTGATATTATTTTTACGTGTATATGTGTATAAAAAAGTAAATGATAAAGGTTGTTTTTCAAACGCTAATAAATTGGTAAAGTAATAATTTACTACTGAACATGTTTTAAAAATTTGTATACTTGATAAATAAAATGTATGAATGATAACCAGCCTATATTGTACGCCGCTGGGCAAATATTGAATCTCAAACGATTTTTTTAAACAAAATAGGCGATAATATTCATTGTACAGACATACATAATATTCTTTTAGATTAAATGTGTAACCGGACAGGTTCTATACACATTTTGTTGCCAAACAAATAAACTTTTTAGACTTCATGTTTTGTTTTTTTTTTGGCCAAGTCGTAATGGATTCCCGCGACTACATAAAAAGGAGCACTGGGGTAATTTGTAGTTGATAAGCTAAGCATCTGACATTACCCTTCGTCAATTGAAGGTCAAGTAAGGTTACCTTTGCATTGTAGTTACCAGTGTAGCCATCAGACCACCACGAATGGGGCCCAATAGGGCTGATGATGCCGATTCGGAGTCGCGGAGAACCTAACGGGTTACCGGGGCTCTGGCTCGAAGTGCAGGAGTAAGAACGGGGTGGTTTTTAGTCAGTAAGGGTCTGACACTCCCTCCCGCCTGACACAGGCGGTAGAAGACATTCGATGATTTTCCCCCCTTAAAAAAAATTCACTAGGCTTCATTTTTTTATTATCACCATCGGAAAAAAAATCAAAGATCTAGCCTATTCCGAAAAAGAAGACATGTAACAATTGGAAGTACTTTATTGGTCTATATATGAATAAAAATGAATTTCCATTCGTTTGTCTCGCTAAAACTCGAGAACGGCTGACCCGATTTGGCTAATTTTGGTCATGAAATGTTCGTGGAAGTCCAGGGAAGGTTTGAAAGGTGATAAAATATTTTTCAGGCGGAACGAAGTTTACCGGGTCAGCTAGTTTGGAATATTTTTTTTGTAGGTATTCATTTATTAGTCTTTGTAAAAAATACGGAGTTGGAAATGGAGCTGGATGCATATCCACTAGAACTTAAAAAAATTGAGAAAAGTATGGGAAATTTTTCGTGACCCTAGCAACGGGAACAGCTTGTATTGTACAGAGGTATGCAGAAGTACATACGCGATGAGGTCAGCCTTCCATCCTTTGCGTGTTTGGAGTGATTGATACATTTATCTGAGATCAGCAGCTGATTGGTCCAATCAAGATAGCATGTTCCCACACCGTCGTGTTATTTGTAGAACTCGCGGAATAAACATACACTGCTGTAAGAATGTTTGTATGTTATTTCGTTGGTGATAGAAGATTGTATTGCGTGCGCGACTTACCTGCTTTATAAAAGCAATTTTCTACCTCAAAAGGTATAACAAAAGTAATGGTAGGATTTGGGGACTCCTTAGAAGAAATAAGGTAGTGGCCATCTTCTCCCATGGTGACCAGCCGCCTTGGAGTGAATTAGTAGGTTGTTTTCTAAAAAAAGAAGAAAACTTTTCTTGGGTATGCAATCTTTGGTTTGTTCCAGGTAGGTACATTAAATACCTACATAGGTGATAGGTAGATTTGTAGTAGGTACATAACTAGTATTTTTTATTATAAATTAGGTACCCTAAATGGTTAGAAGTAAGTAGGTACCAGAATAGATTGTAAGATTAGGAAAGAGAGTCGTATAAGTATAACTGTAGATCACGTTAAGGTGTTAGAACTTAGAATAGGTGCAAATAAGACTCGAGCGAATCAGCAGGCCATTGCTAGCCACGGAATAATTGTCCAAGGTATGTCGTTGGTGTGAAACCTTGGACTGGCTGGCAGGTTGTTGATATGATTGTGATTTGTACCTGAGTATAACATTCCAGGCCATTTCCTTTACTTCCTAGCTGATGGTACAAAAATGAAGATGTGACATTATCTACATCTGCGGCTGAGCTACGTAACGTGTTGTGGGTTCGATTCCCGTACGACACTTTGTATGATCCATAAAGTGTTTTCCGGGTGTGTATGTGCAAATTAGGTATTATCCCACTACACACTATAAAATGAAGAAGGTAGTTATCAACAATTACGCAACGTCTGTATTCTGATGATCATTACTAAACCGTCCAACCCCGTCTGTACGTAACCTGTCTAATAAAAGAAGCGATTTTGAAATAACTCCTGTTTAACTTTACGAGCAGGTTTTGACAAGCTGATGAAATTGAAGCGTTTGTTTATTTTGAGAACAAATGCTTTGATACTACTAACATCTTAACATTTACTCAACCTAGGTCAATTTAGAGAGTATTAAGACGGCAGAGTAGAATATATATTTTGTGTCGGTGGCAAAAAAAGCCCACGGCCCACATGATGGCAAGCGATTACCGTGGCATATGTACGCTTGCATTACATGCGGCTTGCCGACCCTTGAAATCCTATTTACTCCCTCCTTGAAGAACCCCATGTAGTAGCCTACTGGGAAAATTGTGTCACTACCCTTACTCATCCCGCGGGTAAGACCGGACTTAAGGAACTACACAATATATTAGTAAAGTTTAGAGATTATTGCAAACCCTCTTAGGTATCTAGACGAACGGAAGCCCGTAGTCAATCCACTAGGACTATCATGGACATTAAAGGGTAGGCTAACTGAAGTAGGTAAGTATATCTATCTTCCTAATATTTCGGCTTCTTCCTAAATTCCCCTAGCGAGCCTAACATTTGTAAAATAAGGACTTATAAACGAGTCTGGTGGGCGTCTAGCGCCTACATTATCCTATTTGCAGTTCCACTCCATCATCATTAGTGTTGATCGGATAGTCAGGTATCACGTATTGAGGTCTAGGATGGGCAAAGTGCACGGTAACTGGGCCAGACTTGTCTACACGCTGATTGCTTGCACTTTAATGATTTATTCATTGTTTACTCAGTCATCAGTGTCGCTTGATTCATTTAGCTTCTAGGGGATCTTGTTGCATTAATACATATAATAAGTCCG